TATAGGGATTGACTCCACTTGGAAATTGCAAGTTGCCAGTGACTCAGATTAATAATAAACACATGGAAAAGAGTTTGTGAACTAAAAAATAATAATTATATCATAATAATCGTACATGTACTGAGCTGAAGATTTTTCTTCATTCATATCGATCAATTGTTTTTGTAAAATATTGCTTTTACCTTTTTTCAATAAATCTATTACGGAACCAAGCTCTGGTGAATGTAAAAATGATATTATGTACATATTTATGCCTTTTATCTGGCGCTTAATTCAATTACAAGCCTTCAATCGCCACAAAACGAATCGTCAAAGCTTTTAAAGAAAATAAACCTACCTGCCTAGTACTTTAATTAAATACTAGTGGTCCCGCAGTAGTCGAAATTCGACTATAATTAATTGAAACTGTAAGTTTGTACACTATTATGATTCTATTTTCAAAGCCTATTTATTATACTTCTATAATCACAAAATTCGACAATACTACACTATAGGAAAATATTAATAAAGACAAACAATATTTAATCTATTCTCAATTTGACCACAAACGTCAAGAACAAAAGTTTGACAATAAATAAATAGTATGCATGCANATTCGACTATAATTAATTGAAACTGTAAGTTTGTACACTATTATGATTCTATTTTCAAAGCCTATTTATTATACTTCTATAATCACAAAATTCGACAATACTACACTATAGGAAAATATTAATAAAGACAAACAATATTTAATCTATTCTCAATTTGACCACAAACGTCAAGAACAAAAGTTTGACAATAAATAAATAGTATGCATGCGTATGTGCGTCAAATACATGGTAGTGTGTGTAATGTTTTTTTTATTGATTTAATGTATTTTTTAGGCTTAATTTAAAAAAATATTAACATTCTGCACTCCTTCTCTATATTCTCTATAAGTGTGGGAAATTTCATATTCCTCCGTCCGCGCAATTTTCGTAAAAAGGGATACAAAGTATTTGCTTCACGTATTAATATAGATATTATCTAATATAGATAACAAAAATATATTACGCTGCACTTTGACTCTCATTTTACGTTTGTCTCAGGAAAAATAATGATACCACATTACTTTTATATTTAGATGTTCTGCTGATTTCTATAGCTACGCAATTACATTATCCGGCTGTGTATCTCAGATCACTGGGCCCGCATGAGCTTCGTACATTTGTGCAGAACTGGCATTATACCTTGAGTTCAAATATATTAAGTGTATAATCTATGCCTTGAGTAATCGAATCTGCAATTACTTTTTTTTTCAACTTTTTTTTTAACTGACGATATAACAACGAGCAACAGCTAGCTGTCATATCCTTCAAACCGGAAACCATTAGTTTAATCATTAATTATATGTAGTAGGTAGTAGGACATCGTATAGCTATTATTTTTAGCATTCTTGTTAGAATTATTCATATTTCTGCCGTGAAGCAGTAATGCGTTTCGGTTTGAAGGGCGGAGCAGCCGTTGTACTGTAAAAAGTGAGACCTTACAACTCATTTCTCAAGTTGGGTGGCGACATTTACGTTGTGGATGTCCATGGGCTCCGGTAACCCCTTATTACCAGGTGGGCCGTGAGCTCGTCCACCCATCTAAGCAGTAAAAAAATATTTGATTTTATTAAATGTTAGTGCTAATCGGAGCCGGTAGACTCGATCCTGACAAGGACACCGGGCATCAGCGGAGATTCTTGAGGCGATAACATTTAAAAACAAATGAATTCAAATTTACTAATGCCGTGTGCGTTGCACACTTTATTAACAACTAGCTGACCCGGCAGACTTCGTAGTGCCTCAATCGATAAATAAAAGACCTAAACTTTTATATAGAATAAACTTAAAACAAACAAAAGGAATCCGTCCGACGGGGGGGACACGTCAAAGGGAAAATAAAATTGTTATTTTTATTTAATTCCGAGAATTTTCATATTTTTATACCTTTTAAACCTTCTCTGGACTTCCACAAATAATTCAAGACCAAAATTAGCCATATCGGTCAAGCCGTTTTCATGTTATGTCGTGACAACGGAAAACGGGTTTCATTTTTATATATATAGATTTAAATTCAGTTAACACGCGGTGTTTTCAAGGTCTATTGTGAGTTGCAACGCGGGACCGCCTACTACTAGCTTTCGCTTTGCGGGTTCGTAAATTGAAACTTGAACAATAAATATTCTTGGGTACGCAAATAGATTTTGCAACATTTTCGTCTCCATGAACGGTTTACTTACAACCTACAGTGACATTGTTAGTAACATCTAACGCGTCGCTCTGTAAATGTTGTTTCATTTGCCAGTTCACGGAGATTTTTCATTTATTTTATCTATACTATGTAGGCAGCGGCTTGGCTCTGCCCCTGGCATTGCTGAAGTCCATGGGCGACGGTAACCACTCACCATCAGGTGGGCCGTACGCTCGTCTGCCTACAAGGGCAATAAAAAAATATTAATATTATAAAGCTGAAGAGTTTGTTTGTTTGAACGCGCTAATCTTAGGAACTTCCAGTCCGATCTGAAAAATTATTTCAATGTTACCTAGGCCATTTATTGAGGAAGGCTATAGGCTATATAACATCACAGTAAGACCAACACAAGTGGAGCACCATAAAGAATGTTTAAAAATATTTTCACTTTTTACGTAAATGAAGTTGGGGTAAATTTTTACGTTATGCTAAAGTAACTATTCCACGCGGACGGAGTCGTGAGCAAGAGCTAGTCTATACTAATCTATACTAATATTATAAAGAGGAAAGATTTGTTTGTTTGTTTGTTTCGAATAGTCTCCGAAACTACTGGACCGATTTGAAAAATTCTTTTTCCATTAGAAGCCGACATTGTCCCTGATGAACATAGGCTACTTTTTTAAATATTTTTTTATTTAATTTTTTTGGTTTCATGTGTGTTTTAATGTTTCCGAAGCGAAGCGAGGGCGGGTCGCTAGTAATGAAATAAAACAATAACCTAAACATTGGTTTTGATTCGACATCGATCATTATACTAAAATCGTTCTTACGATTATTTTCTGTTTCGATTTTGTGTATTGATTTATACAATTATTCAAATGTGACACTTGAAAACACAGCGTTGGAATTTATAGAAGGCGCAAAATGAAGCCGCAGTCTTTTGAGTTTGCTTAGTTTTGTTTGCCTGGTTAATATTTAGGGATTAGCGACGCTACTAATCACGCAGAGGTCCAGCTTCGATTGCAAGTTGAAGTCAGCATCTCTGCTAATTACATTCGGTTTCCGGGTTTCGGGTTGGATCAGTTCTCGTCACATATATTTTTGGCATCCATAACATAGGAGAATATTTTATCTTCCGTCCGTTGAATGCGTAAAGTTAGTTTATTTCATTAAATTAGACACACGAATGATATTTTCATTTTTCACGTTCATTTCTGATAAAATTATATACGGCTAATAATGATAACATTGCGTCACTCGATTAGGAATCTTATCGGGGTAATTGTGGCTTGAGAGTTATATTTAATCATTTGTGGCATAACTTAATTAAGCATTATTTTTTTATTGTCTTTTGTAGGCAGACGAGATTTCGGCCCACTTGATGGTAAGTGATTACCGTTGCTCATGGACGTTAACAATGCCAGAGGAACAGCGAAGTCGCTGCCTTCCATAAATGTATTTATTTAGTATTTTTACAAATGGTTCTTTTTCCATGAAATGACCCAGTCTTCATTTGAAACTTATTATTCTTATACGGGGTGCTCTGTAAGTACTAAGTATCTCAGATTTAAGGTGTGCACAGGAAGTTAGAAAAATCTTTTTTCCGGCATATTTATTGTTTTAAATTAACAAAAAAAATTTTTTAAGGCGTTTGTATTATAATCAAAGTTTCCCACTATCAAAAATAATCTAGTCTTCATAATATTTTGTAATAGTAATCGGTATCGTTTATAAAATGTACTTGTCTATTTTGTGGTTTTTAGAATTTAAAATATTGTCTATTGTTATGAAAAGATTCAGAGCTTATTCACTTAAGTTTTCCAATACGGGATATACACCTTCGATCAATAATATCAATATTGATCGAAGATATACACAATACAAATGTGTATTTAATTTACAAGTTTTAAGCAAGGATCTAGTTCCAAATAGGTAATAAAAATTTACCTTTAGGAATTAGTGAAAATAAGAAAAAGTTATGTAGAAACTACAAAAAAATATTTTTACATACCTGTTCGAATTGCGAGTCTGCTCCATGGATACAAAGTTTTATAGTCGATAAAATATTATGCAAATAGTGCATATCTGATCTGCAATCAGCCTTTCACATATCGATATGAATATTAATGATAAAACGCTTCAAAATGTTCTATTTTGTCAATGTGTTTTTCAGGTATCATTTTGAAAAAAGCCATACCATTCAACTTTTTAAAACCTATTTGGTAATATTTTTAATTTACACAAATGTTACGTTAAATGTAAAGTTAATTATAATTCTGAGACTCCTACATTGATTATGACTAGTGAGCTTATACACCAGGATATATGGGACCATGATCTTGCCATCTAGCCACTGCTAGTACCTACCATATTAATCCTACACGTATCAACGTCTTATTTAAAAAAAAAATTCTTAGATGGGTGGACGAGCTCACAGCCCACCTGGTGTTAAGTGGTTACTGGAGCCCATAGACATCTACAACGTAAATGCGCCACCCACCTTGAGATATAAGTTCTAAGGTCTCAAGTATAGTCACAACGACTGGGGCAGCCCTTCAAACCGAAACGTATTACTGCTTCACAGCAGAAATAGCGGACTCACAAGAGGTCCTACCACCGGTAATTACACAAATTATAATTTTGCGGGTTTGGTTTTTATTATTACACGATCTTATTCCTTCACCTTGGAAGTCAATCGTGAAGATTTGTTCAGTACGTATTTCATTAGAAAAGTGCTCTCATTTTCAAATCTCCTAAATTCCTCGCCAAGCGAATCGTAAAAAAATCCGTTCTTTCCGCAGAGAACAAACAAAAGACCATGAGATGACGTGGCGTTTCTGGCGACGGCGACGTTTAGTGGTAGCGCTGTTGGCATTCTTCGGGTTCTTCAACGTTTACGCTCTTCGCGTGAACCTCTCAGTGGCCGTCGTGGCCATGACGGAACCGGTGGAAACGAAACTGGAAAACGGTACCATTGCTATGGTAAGAATTTTAAAGTCGCCATTTTGTAATTTAAATGCGGGTTTTTTTTTGTTAATTGCTTAGATGGGTGGACGAGCTCACAGCCCACCTGGTGTTAAGTGGTTGCTGGAGCCCATGGACATCTACAACGTAAATGCGCCACCCATCTTGAGACATAAGTTCTAAGGTCTCAGGTATAGTTACAACGGCTGCTTCACCCTTCAAACCGAAACACATTACTGCTTCACGGCAGAAATAAGCAGGGTGGTGGTACCTACCTGTGCGGACTCTCAAGAGGTCCTACCACCAGTAAAAACTTTCTTTACCCTTACCCCACTATTAGCGTCATCATCATCCCAGCCTGTCCATAGCTGAACATAGGCCTATCCAACTGATATCCAATGCGGCCGGTCCATTGTCACCTGCATACAACGCTACCCAGTGATTCTCACTAGTACTTTGGGCCGTCTGGTTGGTGGCCGTCGTACACTGCGCTTGCCAGTATGTTGTCTCCACTCGCGGATCTTTCTCCTCCATCGGCCGTCCGATCTTCGCGCTATTTGGCCTGCCCACTGCCTAAGCTTCCTAATTCTGTGGGCTGTGTCAGCAACTTTGGTTCTTCTTTGGATCTCCTTCTTTCTGATCCGGTCTCGTAGAGAAACACCAAGCATAGCCCTCTCCATAGCTCGCTGCGCGACACTAAGCTTCTATAAGAGATCCCTTTTGAAGAACCAATAACATACATTCATTTAAGGACAATAAGATAATGCAGTTGATTTAGGTAGGACGCGAGATTTGTACACATGACTTTGGATAAGTCCATCTGCGTCAGTGATTACTAATCATTTAGCGAGCCATATGTTCGTCTATCTACGAAGGCAGTAAAGCGATTGTAAATCTATATCTATACTAATACTAATACTAATACTAATACTAATAATATTATAAAGAGGAAAGATTTGTTTGTTTGTTTGTTTCGAATAGGCTCCGAAACTACTGGACCGATTTGAAAAATTCTTTTTCCATTAGAAGCCGACATTGTCCCTGATGAACATAGGCTACTTTTTTTAATTTTTTTTTTTTTTTTGGTTTCATGTGTGTTTTAATGTTTCCGAAGCGAAGCGAGGGCGGATCGCTAGTTTATTAATAATTTGTAGAATTTAATTTCAAATATTTGCATGAATAATCTAAAAATAGATTGAACTGAGCAGAAATGAAACAAACTGTAATAAAAGGGGAACGTTAAGATGTCCATAAATTGTTACAGCCATCGATTCCCCGTAAATTATGGATGGTATAAAATGAGACTTGAACAATTATTCAGTGTTCCATTGATGCTGTTAAGATTAATTTGTTCTGTACTTTAATCAATTATAATAGAACAATTTCTGAGGATTACCGTTTAGGAACACGTATTTTTAATTAATATATCAATGTATCTTGAAGTAAATATACACAGAGATGTGAAAGACCTCTTTACTGGTGGTAGGACCTCTTGTGAGTCCGCACGGGTAGGTACCACCACCCTGCCTATTTCTGCCGTGAAGCAGTAATGCATTTCGGTTTGAAAGGTGGTGCAGCTGTTGTAACCATACTGAGACTTTAGAACTTATGTCTCAAGGTGGGTGGCGCATTTACGTTGTAGATGTCTATATGATCCAGTAACCACTTAACACCAGGTGGGCTGTGAGCCCGTCCACTCGTCTAAGCAATAAATAAATAAACTAATTAAAATTATAATACATTTACGATATCGTATATTTGATTTCTGACTTCGAGAATATACATATTACAATTTTCTTGGTTCACGAATGTTCACGTACGAATAAAGTGTCGATATTTGAATATTGTGCTAACTACCGTCTAATTTTGTATCAATAAAATTTCTTAACATTTGCGTTTCTAATGGAACGAACGGAAGTAATAAAATAAAAATAAAAAAACGTTAAAACCGTAAAGTAGTAGATTACATTTGGTGTACAACTCGCGGAGATTGAATAAAATACTGTAAGGTAATTGTTCTGCAAAATAAAGATTGTTTGGTATTTTTAAATAATTTGTTTTTGTAAAATCGTATTTTGTAAAGTTGGTTAATAACTTCAAATAACCTCATAGTTTATTAGTTGGGTACCCGATAAAAAAAATTTTCTTTTTTTTTTTTTTTAATAAGAGCATTTTCTCGATTTCGAGACGTCACCCTCAAAGTTTACACAAAAAATTTAAACGCGACGCTTTATACTTACGTCTACCAATTTATATAGCATTCTGGCTGCCCTCGACAAGGGGGAGGCCAAGATGCTGTTATAGACGCCTACATCCATTGCACATAAATCAAATTCTAACATAAAGCCACTGCGCTCCGCTTCACTCCGTACACACTCCTTCATTATGTGGGTTGCATCCTCGACTACTCCACACTCGACACAGTTTGGTGAATCGCATATTTTCATCAAAAATCCAAAACTATTTAGAGGAATGTGTCCAGACCGAAGTCTGAAGGCAGTCACAATATGGTTTCGATGCATATCTACTCCTGTGAACCAATACCCGATTACTTAAACATCACAAAGTCAAGCCGATGTCTCAATAGTGTATCTATAGCCTATCCTACAGACTAAAAACAAATATAAACAGATGACGAGGTGTCATGTGGCTAATGACATCAGCCAATAAAAGTACAATAACGACTTCGGAGCGATTATTATTCTGAAAAGAGTAAAACGCCTCAGAGAAATACGCAGAAGAAATTGCGCTGCGGAAAATGGAGAGATCGATTCATGAATTCTAGATGGTAACCGCTTAACTAATTAGTTGACCCGCGAACTCCTTCACCCAAATAGTAACGCTAAAAAGGAGAAGTAGGAAACCAGGGTCGTATATATTGCTCGCCAGACAAATAAAGTTTCCTCCTGGCTGAGCCTTTGCTCGCCCGCCTGTCCTGGTGAAATTGGAAAGGTCTTCGGGCCACCAGTAATATTTCAATCATAAAAAAAAACACGTATGGCACTCAGAGACTACCGCGGTAAAGCTATTGCATAGCATTTTTTATCAACTTATGCAATTATAAATCGACAATAATAATTTAATATTAAAACAACAATAAAATAAGACCACGCTATATTTATAAACATTAACAAAAGCAAAACATTAACTGTCCCCTTCACACTCATAACCTAGACCGCGCGAGGGAGAAATGGGCAGACTTTTCATGATGTGCATGCGGCAGTGCGACGTCACGCCGCGCGCTTATTCACAAACACTACACAAGCGCAACGTGTGAATGTATTGAACGCGAGCTACATAGTAGGCGTAGTGGGGGTGTCAGCTTATTTTCGTCACGGAATTTCTTGATTCAGTCGCCGCGCTCAAGGCCCGCGATAGAAGCTATGCAATAGCTTAAAAAACAATTAAGTTATATCATGTAATTTCCAGATTCCAGAATTCGACTGGAGCACGCAAACGAAAGGTCTCGTCCTAAGTTCGTTTTTCTACGGATACCTAGTCACTCAGCTCCCTGGCGGCTGGCTCGCTGCTAAAATAGGAGGTAACAGGTTTGTTCCATCTATAACAATAATATAAATAATTACAATAATGTGCCCAATTTACATTAACACGATTCTATGGTTGCATGCTTAAAATCATATTATTATATAGTTCAAAATTTATGCCGCCAGTTTTTCTGCCAATTTACGGAAATTAAAAGGTGTTTACAATTCTCTTAGACTCCTCCTCCCCCGGTAATCAGGTCTGAGTTTATCAGTCTGCGATTACCATTACCATACTATATACCGTTAGGGTAGAAGCCTTTATTGCCTAAAGGATAAGATGCCGGTGCCCAGAACGCAATGCGACTGTGCCTATGGAAGGTATCAATTTTTTAAGAAAGTATTTAACGCATGTTCACGAACGACTTCTATGATTTCCATGATGTGGTAGGCGATCCGAAAAACACCAGGAATTGGACGAAGGTCGCCACCGTAGAATAGATGTTTTGCTTGTCTTTCGATAAGATCAAGTTTGTATTATTAACAACCTCCAATAGTGAAAAGTCACCTAAAACAGTATACGAAAATTCGACTGCAGCGTTGATGTCCACGGGCGACAATAATCCCTTACTAACAGGTTAATTATTAACTCCCACTGAGTTTCTCGCCGGATCTTCTCAGTGGATCCCGATTCGGATCCGGTCGTACATTCTGCGAAACACTGCTCTTGCTAGGACTAGTGTTAAAAGTCCAACAAGGTTGAGCCGGGTGATCTCGCTTACCAAACCGCGCATAGTTGGACTAGCCTAGACTAGGTACCAAAAATTAGGCAGGGAAAAAAAATTTAACTCTTTCAGTGGTGTTCAGGAATTTGAACGAAAATGGTGCATATTAAGAGGCTTAACTCCTGGCGCACGAAGCGCGTATGGTGCTAAACACAACCAACGAAGTTTTTTGTAATCTTCTGAACTAAAGCGGCCTACACACGACCCTAAAATCGTGACCCACCTCGTGTATAGTAGTCGTAACCCGATTTTTATTGTTTACCCTAAACTCTAAAATCGCTTCGGGCGAGCTCACGATTTATGGACGATTACCCCCACCACCGCTGTCCCGATATCGCCACTGATTTTAGGGTCGTGTGTAGGCCGCATAAACGTGCTACATTTTGTTTATCTGCAGGGTGTTCGCTATCGGCATCGGGACCACGTCGCTGCTAACCCTGTTCACGCCTCCGCTCGCCCACACCAGCACGGCGCTGCTGATCGCCGTCAGAGTTATCGAAGGATTCTTCGAGGTGAGACACTCATGTTACTCTCTATCTCTTTATTTAAGTTGACCGGCAAAAGGACCCTCTTTATTGACTCTTGCACCGATGTTCGTATCCCAGGCGAATACCAATTTGTCTAATGAGATACGTACTCAACAAATGTTCACGATTGATTTCCACGGTGAAGGAATAACATCGTGTAATAAAAATCAAACCCGCAAAATTATAATTTGCGTAATTACTCTCTTGTGAGTCCGCGCGGGTAGGTATCACCGCCCTGCCTATTTCTGCCGTGAAGCAGTAATGCGTTTCGGTTTGAAGGGTGGGGCAGCCGTTGCACACTGTATTATTATCGAGATCTAGCAGAACTTAATTCAATCTTGCGTGAATTTTTTTTTTTTAATTTTACGTGTCATAAAATGTTAATATTAGATGTTATTTCGTATTTCTAAATAAATAAATAACAATAATTATTAATAAAAATCATTTAATCTTTATTTTCTTTAAAAATATTATTTTTAGTACTGCAACTTTGTTCTAAATACACAAGAAATATATTTTACACCCCTAAATATATTCAAAAGACTAAAAAAAATGCGCATAACCTTCTACCCATCTTCCTCCGTCGAGTAAGTTTCTTCTCCCATGTTCTATTTTGCACTGTTGATTTGGAAGATAGAAGTGGATCTGAACCTATCAGAAATCGGTTAAGTACGTCTCGATTGGTGTTAATTCTGCTTGTTTTCCTGCTGAAATACTCGCGATTCCTCCTATATTCCTTATTGTTCGCTTCTTGAGCTTCTTCTGCTAATTGGTCCAAAGGTAAAACGCATGTTTCAATTACTTCTATTGAGTGTGAGAGGATTTTGTGTATACCTACTAGAAGGCATGTAGTACCAGGAACAATGTACTAAATAAAGTTTTCTTGTCTCTTCGGCATATGTCTTGTGCCTCTAAGATAACAGAAATGTTTGACTAAATCCAGATTGATCCCTGTTATTTTCGCTTACATTTCTCCCATTTAGATTGTATTTTTGCTGTAAGACTACTTATTAACATTTGAAGTGATCGTGGAGGGTTTCTACAGTCCTAATATTGTAGTATTTTTTCAATTATAAGGTTATTTTGACCTTTTTTTTATTACTTGGAAACCATATATTAAAAATACGTCGCCTTTTCATTGCGCTGAAAACAAAAAAAAATGTATGAGCGGGGCAAATAGGAGCAAGGGATTCCAACTAAATTTCAAAGAACATTAACCGTAGAATGCTATAACAGTGATTTCCCGGTGTATACACTTGCATACATTTTTAAAAGTCAACACTAATACAAAAAGAAATTTTTTTTCAAGGACTACAGCAAAAACGTTATTAATTAATAACATTTCAATATTATAAGGTTCAAACTTACCTTAACGTATCCTCGATGATATAACAAACGATAAAAATGACCAATTATAGCACTTTAAACGACAAGAACAGACCTGTTCGCATTCTGCAATAAAGCAAAACTAAACAATACACTCCTGCTAGTACGCATAAGCTATGTTTCGAGACTTCCCTTGTGTTGTATGGTGTTACACACTTATTTTTTTTTTTCAATATCGGTTATTTAGTTATACACCTGTGTAATAAAGGGAGTTTTAAGAATATTTAGAGGAGTATTATTTTTAATTAAGTTCTGCTAGATCTCGATAATAATACAGTGTGCGTTGTAACTATACTTGAGACCTTAGAACCTTATATCTCAAGGTGGGTGGCGCATTTACGTCATAGATGTCTATGGGCGCCAGTAACCACTTAACACCAGGTGGGCGGTGAGTTCGTCTACCCATCTAAGCAATAAAATATATATATGAGATGTGACGGTGGCAGGGCGTGACGTACCCGTGCATCCACGCGGTGTGGGCGCGCTGGGCGCCGGGCGAGGAGCGCGCGCGGCTGGCCACGCTCGCCTTCAGCGGCAGCTACGCCGGCACCGTGGTGGCCATGCCGCTGTGCTCGCTGCTGGCGCACTACACGGGCTGGCCCGGCATCTTCTACGTCTTCGGTCAGTCCTTACCTTACTAGTCGAAGCCAATATACGAGTATTTATCACTAATCAGTCGCTACAAGAAATATCTTTAATGTGTCACTTTTTATTACGTACTAGAAGACGACCGAGCTTTGATCGGTTTTTTTTTATATATTGTGTTTTTTAGAAATTATATTTTAATACGAATTACATATTGATATAACATTATATAATTTGTTATTTTCTTTCAATAAAAAAAAAAAGTTTATGTTTAAGTTGATTAACGATAAAGTGGATTATTGAAAACACGAATAAAACAACATTTTCTGAAAATAACGTTGAAAATAACGTTGTAGATGTCTATGGGCTCCGGTAACCCCTTAACACCAGGTGTGCTGTGAGCTCGTACACCCACCTAAGCAATAAAAATAAAAAATAAAACTGTACTGTACTATCTATGATTAAATAAGTATATGCTGCTATACTACATAAAACACTATAGTATAGCGTAGTCTGAAAGCAGCTTTAAAATAGATAACATAGACGGGATATTTTTGAAACTTGACTAATGACATCACTCGTTATCTTTACACGTCATAATAATATCAGAATGCATGATTTCATATGGGTTAATCAAAAATTTTATGAAACAATTAAATGTTAAGNTATGATTAAATAAGTATATGCTGCTATACTACATAAAACACTATAGTATAGCGTAGTCTGAAAGCAGCTTTAAAATAGATAACATAGACGGGATATTTTTGAAACTTGACTAATGACATCACTCGTTATCTTTACACGTCATAATAATATCAGAATGCATGATTTCATATGGGTTAATCAAAAATTTTATGAAACAATTAAATGTTAAGGTTTTTCGTGATCATCAAATAACTGTCATAAATTTGAACACTTCCTAAAATTCTCCGATAGTTTGATTAAAAATAAAGCTAAAAGTTTCTCCATTGCGCAACAAAACAGACAAGGTTTTAGGAATCTCCGAGGCGAAAGGCCTTAATCCATCATCTCAGCCTGTCCACTGCTGAACATAGGCCTCTCCAAGTGATCTCCAGTGCGGCCGGTCCGTTGCCGCCTGCATCCAACGTGACCCAGCGGTTCCTACCAGGTCGTCGGTCCATCTCGTAGCCTTAATCCACTATAAGGCAATGATGTTTCAGGTATACTGGGATTGATTTGGACGACAGTGTGGTGGATAGTTGTGAAGGAGTCCCCGGAGAAGGACCCAAGGATTAGCGCCGCAGAACTCAAGTACATACAGGTCAGTGTCGCTGCACCAGCGTGATCTGCCTATCTAAAAAGACTTTTTAGTTGGAACGCGAGGACCGAACTTGTGTTGTATTTTATTTTCATAATTTAGTGCAGGTCTGACCAGATAACGGCCCGTATATTTTTATGCGGCCCGCGACGTAGGTTTTAATCAGAAAAATATTTTAGATATAAATAGTTTGGATAAATTTTAAAATTCTATGTCAAAATATATTATTAATATATGGTATAATTTCTTAAAATCCTCTTTCTTGTAATATTCTTTTTGAACTGTAGCTTCTTTAGGATCGTTGTGATTTCAAACTCGATGAAACGAAAAAATAAGTCCATAGAGACAAACACATAAATGTATAGGATTCAGCCGGCGAGAGAATGAGATAGAACACATTAGACGTTCACAGTGTAGTGTTTTTTAATACAGCGCCATCTATGAGATTTTTTAATACTAACGTGTGTATGAAACCTCTTGTAGTGAATTTTATTTAGGATTATACGTGAAGTTAAAATATCAATTCACAGAGGGCGCTACCTCATACTATAAAAGCTGATTTACAATGACAAAATTTTACATTTACTTTGACATTTAGGATAATTGTATTTTAATTTTTGAAGGTTTCATTTCTACCACGTATGAATTGCACACATGTTTTTTGTTTTATCCTACCTATGCTAATAGTCTTGAGAGAGTATATCAGCGTTAGCTCGCGGGGCTCAAATCGGAGGTGTNAGAGGGCGCTACCTCATACTATAAAAGCTGATTTACAATGACAAAATTTTACATTTACTTTGACATTTAGGATAATTGTATTTTAATTTTTGAAGGTTTCATTTCTACCACGTATGAATTGCACACATGTTTTTTGTTTTATCCTACCTATGCTAATAGTCTTGAGAGAGTATATCAGCGTTAGCTCGCGGGGCTCAAATCGGAGGTGTTGCTAACACTGGCCCTAGTAAGAGCAGTGCTTCGCAGAATCTACCGGCGAGAAACTCAGTGGGCTGCATTCTCATGACATCATTTTGAAAGTGAAGCAACTTTTACTATTATTAGGGGAATTCCGGAAAGTATTTTGTTTTTGAAAATATATCTTTCTGCGGCCCTCCGGCTTTTGTAGTAAAATCAATAAGCCCGCATAGGTATGTAGCTTAGACGGTCCTGATTTAGCATCTGTCGCGGTGCACAAATGTCGGGAAAATGAAACAAAGCCGTTGGACATGGCTTCTCTTACAAATAAATCATTAATACCACAGTAAATAACCACTATTTTGTTGAGATTCCATCCTGTCTCATCTCGTTCCGTTTAACTTGATGCCAATTGATTAAAGTTTTATATAAATCAAATTAATCTCATTTCGCTCAATATCATTGTTCATATAATAGAATAATGTATCTATTTAATAATTTAAGGCTTTTATGAGCTCAGTGGCAACAATGGCGTCGTAAAAAGCTAATTGCCACACTAAGAACAAAGAAGAACAAGAATGCCTTAAAAGCTGATTTGCGATTTAAGTTAATACATCGGATATTTTTATATTTTAGCTTTTTGAATCCTATCAACTTTTGCATGTACTAACTACAATACCTTATTTAACGCGCACTCTTCGATAAAGTATGACACTTAAAAATGATTTTAGTTTTTTTTTTTATTCTTATGTACTTACTTACATAAAGTTCAACAACTATAAATAAGTTCTTACCACGCAAAAAAGTTTATTTCACAAATATTGGATTGGTGTTTGGGTCGACTCACAATACGCACGTTGCTACCGCCAATATAACTGTTACTGCCACCAAGCAGTAATGCGTTGCGTTGAAGGGTCAGAACAAAGTGGCTCCTGACATACACGTCGCTGTTATCCACACTGCGAGGTGGAGGGATACATAGTATAAAACAAAGTCGCTTTCTCTGTCCCTATATCCGTCTGTCCCTATGTATGCTTAAATCTTTAAAACTATGCAACGGATTTTGATGAGGTTTTTTTAATAGATAAAGTGAGTGAAGAGGAAGGTTTATATGTATAATAACATCCATTAAATAGCGGAGAAATCACTAATAAATTACAGTTTCCGAAGCGAAGCGAGGGCGGGTCGCTAGTTTTATCTAATTCAATAAAATAATGGTTGTTCCGTGTGGTTTCAGGAGACTCGAGGCACGACGCTGACTGATGGGGCGAAGCACCCCTGGAAGGCGATGCTGACGTCGGGTCCGGTGTGGGCCATCGTGGTGGCGCACTTCAGCGAGAACTGGGGCTTCTATACTTTACTCACGTTCTTGCCTACGTTCATGAAAGGTTTCTCATTATTTGAGTCACGTCCAAAGTCTAAACAAGCGAGCATTAATTTACTATTTCCTTTTAGATTCATATTCATACATTCGTACGCCATAAGGTCCCACAACCCTCTTCTTCTTAGAGAGTTATTTGTAATTTTAAGCAGCTAGAGTATTTATCGTTAGGTACATGCGTTTTAGAGATCGAAAATTTAGTTGTATTAACCGACCCATACACCCGTCCGGTCATCGTTCTCGTCGAACCCGTCGCTTGCGACGAAGGGCTCGGTGAGTAAATTAACCCCCAGACACAGCCTACTGAGTTTATCGCCAGATTTTCTCAGTGGGTCGCGTTTCCGATCCGGTGGTAGATTCTGTGAAGCACGGCTCTTGCTAACGTTAATGTTAACAACTCACCTACTTGTTAGGGTTACGCTGACATAGTCTCTCAAGGTTATTAGCCCGCGGCCGTCAACCCGAGTAGACCAGACCAGACGACTGATTGCAGATGTGTACAAGTTCGAGACGTCGGCCACGGGCTGGCTGTCTGCCATCCCGTACCTGGCGATGGCGGCCACGCTGCAGGGCGCCGGACACCTGGCCGACTGCCTGCTGCGCCGCGGCCTGCTGTCCCGGACCAACATACGGAAGCTCTTCAACTGCGGAGCCTTCCTGTCCCAGGTACGCCCAACATCCGAGCTACGATACAAACGTGTGCCCAGGATAAACTGATCCGTGGAAGGAAGCTCTAGAATGACTTTAGATCGGTTCGATTCCGTTGAAAGTCTTAAACGCTCGTTAAATATACGCTGTCGTATACCACGCGGGAGGTCACCGCGATGAGACGGCGCGGTAGGACAGCACGGGGGGACATAGCGGGTAGTTGTTTTTTTTTATTGCTTAGATGGGTGGACGAGCTCACAGCCCACCTGGTTTTGTTAAGTTGTGTGACTGGAGCCCATAGACATCTACAACGTAAATGCACCACCCAGCTTGAGATATAAGCTCTAAGGTCTCAAGTATAGTTACAACGGCTGCCTCACCCTTCGAACCGAAACGCATTACTGCTTCACGGCAGAAAAAGGCAGGGAGGTAGTACCTACCCGCACGGACTGACAAGAGGTCCTACCACCAGTATTCGACGTGTGATCTATTCAACCCCGAACTGCCCGTTTCTGTGATAAATTTTACAAATCGAATCACCAGAGGTAGCGTGCATTGGAACCCTGCACGGACCGATGCCGCAATCTGGTCAGCTAAAAAGCTGTGACGCGGACTGGGTGTGAGGGTGGGGCAGCGGTCGAAGCGCACAGCTGACGTCAGCAGCCGCCGCCCCGTGAGCCCTCGGCTCGTGACGTCACGCCATAATAATAATATTAGTGTTAATATTTGCAGACTGTGTTCATGATAGCGGCGGCCTACTCCACGTCGGTGGTGGGCTGCGTCGTGTGCCTGACTATAGCCGTCGGCCTGGGGGGCTTCGCGTGGTCCGGCTTCAGGTAACGTTCCAAGACTCATTGGACATCACTGTGCATTGCGGGTAAACGCAGAGGTCGCGCGGTGCAGCGATAAACTGATGACGTAATGGAACAACGTAATGTTATGATGGAAATACCGTCAAAAATGCTTTAGTTTCATTTTTCCAAAACTGACTCAGTGGACGATCTCACGGTTGATGATAAGTGGCTACTGAAACTCGTAGACATGTGATTGTCACCACTAACGTTGAAACATGAAGTCTCAACTGTATTAGAGCGACAGTTCCGCTGCTCAGAGCAGCATTTACTGGTGGTAGGACCTCTTGTGAGTCCGCGCGGGCAGATACCACCACCCTGCCTATTTCTGCCGTGAAGCAGTAATGCGTTTCGGTTTGAAGGGTAGGGCAGCCGTTGTACTATACTGAGATCTTAGTACTTATATCTTTTTTTTTTTTTTTTATTGCTTAGATGAGTGGANTTTAATTTTTCCATATCATTCTTCCCCTGTTTTATAATGAAGCAATATACGTCGTACACAAATTTTCTACCCTTTCTTTTAAGTACTACACCAGTTTGTCACGGCATAGTGTATGTTTTATAAAAAATCAACAAACACTCAACAAATAGCAATGGCAACAAAGTCCACAAGCAATTATAACAAATAACTTAACGATTAATAACGATAGACTTTTCACTGTACGCAAGCGTACTTTTGGGAGCAAGCAGAATGAGGGCGCGGTGCGGGACGCAAGGTTCGACTGATCTACCAATAACGCGCTCGATACGATTTCCCCTGCCGTCGCGCCTCACCCTCACCACCAAAGTGACCTAAAATTCGGTTCTGCGCAGTCAAGGTCATTTGCTCAAGAAGTTTGCCGATTACTATAACTATACTGAGATCTTAGAACTTATATCTCAAGGTGGGTGGCGCAATTACGTTGTAGATGGGCTCCAGTAACCACTTAACACCAGGTGGGCTGTGAGCTCGTCCACCCATCTAAGCAATAAAAGAATGCACATAGCGGTTAGCAACACTCCGTCGCTCTAAGTAACGTGAGGTGTGTTCGTTCCCAGCGTGAACCACCTGGACATCGCGCCGCCGCACGCCAGCGTGCTGATGGGCGTCTCCAACACGTTCGCGACGCTGCCCGGGATCGTGAGCCCGCCCCTCGCCGGGAGCATCGTGCTCGACAAGGTATACCCGCACCAATCCGCATCTAGATAATTTTTTTTGCTTAGGTGTTTGGACGATCTCACAGCCCATTTGGTGTTAAGTGGTTACCGGAGCCCATAGACAACTACAACGTAAATGCCGCCACCCACATTGGGATATGGGTTCTAAGGTCTCAGTATAGTTACAACGGCTGCCCCACCCTTCAAACCGCACTACTGCTGCAGAGATACACTACGGCAGAGATAGGCAGGGTGGTGGTACCTACCCGTGCGGACTCACAGGGGGTCCTACCACCAGTAAACCACTAGTATTTCTATTAATAATGAGCGGTGGACAAGCCGATGATAGTCAGCGCCCGTATAGTAACATCACAGCACCGCGCGCTTTGCAGACCTACGATGTACTGTATTTCTCGCCGGATCGTCTCATTTGGACCCGATTCTGTGGTAGATTCAGCGAAGCCCTGCTCTCACTAGGGCAGATGTCTTTTTTATTGTCTTTTTTGACAGATGAGCACACGGCCCACCTGGTAGAAAGTGATTACCGTCGTCCACGGCACATCAGCAATCCCAGTTTAAAACCTGTTAGCGAGTTCTCTCAGGGTGAAAACCGGAGTCGCTATCCTTTCGGTGAAATCAGTAAAGTCCCGCTATAATGTACAATACTGGCAGCTAGATAGGCAAAGAAAAGCAAACGTACAGTCACAGCGTCGACTGTAATAGTGTATATTCTGCTCTTAGACACAACATGCACTAAAAGTTTTACAAAAACAAACAAAACAATATCGTGTATCTGCCGACAGCTCGGGATAATCCTTCAGTTTCATTTTTACTCCCGATGCCTTGTCGCTCTGTGCGCCCCGCCCCGTCACGCCACGCCACGCCACGCCACGCTACACCGCGCCAACGTACACTCTGTTGCAGACGGCGGAGCAATGGCGCGTCGTGTTCTTCATATCGAGCGCGATCTATCTGTTCGGCGCCGTCGTGTACTACATATTCTGCTCGGCCGAGCTGCAGCCCTGGGTGCTGCACGACCAGTCCGACGCCAGCTTCGACACGGACGGCGCCTCCGTCACCACGGCCGGCGGATACGACAACAGGGCCACGGACCACAACTCGGAAATGTAAAAACTACTTTAACTGATAAGCCAGATAGAGATTTGCCGTCTCGTTCACTCGAAACTTTCTGAACTACATACAGCTTTAGTTAGACACGGGTAATTTATTGTAAACAGCTCGTAATACATTATTAAGTAACAATAATCTGTGAAATGGTGATAAATGGACGAGGTGAAGATTCCATCAACCGAGAGAGGGCGCGCGGTGCAAATCTGCCCCCCCACAAATGAACTCAAACCTAGCTTATACGCTTATCAGACAGGCTACGACAAAACTCAACCCGAGCTGCTTATAGTGACCCCGGTCGAGCATAAAGGGAATCGATAGTTTTTAACACCACCTGTGACGTCATACGGGGCTAAAACAAGCGACGGGGACCATCGAGCAATGACGGGTACCTGCTCCATCACGGTGGCTCACGACGGCTATAAACCTATGATATAACTACACCATATTATTATTATAAAGTCTAAAACGCATAGACCATATTATGACGTCATGCATTGTATTAGGTATCAAAAAAGCGTCAGAACAATTAGATATTGTTCGGCGATTTCAAACAAAAATTGTCAACGGATTATCGATTTAACGCAATTATAATGCCGTATAAATAATTCATAGAATATTTTACGATCGGCCTGTTTATTAGAACGCTAAATAAATAAATAAAATTTAAATCGTTTCAAGTATTGTTTCATGATGCATTTACGTAATATGGAACTATGTTGACGAGTTATCACGATTGACATTCCGTAGAGCATTGACAGTGTTAATGGTCATCACAAATTTCCTACTTTAATACCTTAGCTATGATGCAACAGGGTATTGTACTTTGTAAATAAACAATAGCGTAATTAAATAAATGTGATATATTATTTAGATGTAGGGATGCTATCTCCGTGCTTAAAGCGCCTTGCGTTTAGCACTAGCACGCTCCGCGAGTTTTTTTATTTCTCAATCGTGTAAAAGTTAACTAAAATTTCTATAGACTTAGAACAGCGCCCCTAGCGGTAAACGAAGGGAATCTGATCTATCTCTGTATACCAGCGGTCGGGGAACCGGGGTAAATTACCCCAAATGGGGTAAAATGTAATTTTGGGGGGTAAAAATGAAACTTTTGTGGGTAAAAAGTATATATTGAAGTGAAACTTCTTTAGAATCGTTAAATTTTTAGTTATTGTTTTCTTTTCAAAATTATCATGGGGCTATATTATGAAAGACACTAAAAAGAAGCGATTTCTTTTTTTTTTTTGTTCTTAGCCATGGGGTAATATCAACTTACACAAAAATATTTTGGGGTAATAATTAGAAAACTTCCCCGACCGCTGCTGTATACAAATTCGAGTTAACTTTTACGTGATCGAGAAGTTAAACACACCGGTGGCTCGGGTCGTTGACCCCGCCCAGTCTCACCGGACGCGCGACGCGAATGTACCACCATTTGTACCAATGTTCTAATTGAATATGCAATTTCGAAAAGGGCACATGTCGCATATTTTGACAAATACGTTTTTTCATATACATGTAGTTTTGAGGCCCACCTACACACATTTTATAATAATTCCAGTAATTTTCAATTGCTAATTAACACTTAAATATATCTCAAAAGTTAATAGGTATTTTAAATTTTACACTGCTTTAGAAAACTAATCAGTTTTTTTTTTCATTTCCAGAACATTTTACATTTTCAGAGATGTGCCCTTTTCGAAATTGCATATCAATCAATTGTTTCCGAAACATCTCACAAGGGTAGAGAAATTAAATAGAAATTTAAATTTTGTTGAATCTCACATAATTGATTAATCTGTCTTAAGTCTTAAGAAAACAGACAAATTCCGTTTTAGGTTATATAAAAGGAACGTTGGTCCAACAAAAAAAATTGTATAATTTTTGTTAGAAATATTTACAATGTATATTATATAGAAAATGTTTACATTTCGCTTTGACTGCTTTTAATTTGCCGTGTAGGTATAATACAAGTGATAAAAGAATGTATGAGTTATAAGATTTTATGTATTCGATTAAAGATATATTTACACAGAAATGTTTTGATTTCACTAAAACCTGTTTGGGGGAAAGCAATAAAAGTATTATAATAGTTAAATCTGACAAAAGATATTACGTATAGTAGGTATATACACAACTACACACATAAAATGTTTAACAGCCAGTGCCATCTATCGGCTAAAAACGAAAATATTTATACCAGAATTGAAAAAGACTAGTTTTCGTTATTATATTATGTCCGAGTAGGTACACATTTTACTGGATATTTAACACATTTTTTATATTATACTTAGTATTCTTTTTTTATTGCTTAGATGGGTGGACGAGCCCACCTGTTGTTAATAGGTTACTGGAGCCCAAAGACATCTACAACGTAAATTTCGCCACCCACTTTGATGATTTCTAATGTCTCAGTATAGTTACAACGGCTGCCCCACCCTTCAAACCGAAACGCATTACTGCTTCACGGCAGAAATAGATAGTTAAACGCTGTTTTCTTAAAACTCTCTTAAATTCTTACAAAAATATACTTTGCTTTTAACATCAACTGGAGATCATCCTTTAAGATTAATAGTTTTCGTTATTATATCAAAATAATATCACTCGTGGTGGATTGGGTACCAGTGACAGTGGAAAAATAAAAATTCTAATAGAATCTTTCCGTTTTTTATCGTCACCAGATGATAAGCAAAGTAGCTTGTCAACAGCTATTTAGCACAAGTTCATGGTCTGAAAATAGATTTTCACTTTTAGCCAAAGCAAGCCGTCAAACTTAGGGGTTCTTAGACCACCACTAACAAAGCGAACAGGTCTTTATTGCGTGAACAGACAAGCTCATGCCCCACCTGGTGTTAAGTGTAACGTCCGGCATCCGTCCGGCTCTGGAATGAATCTACTTTCCACGGTGTTTTTGGAGTCCTATAACATGTCTTTCTTCAAAGGAGATTAACAAATGCTCAATGCTTTGATTACTCGACTCAAGATTGCTGACCTCGTCTGGGCGTAGCCTCCTAGGCTACCAGCGAAAAAGTAGGGGAAACAAATTTGCTGACGTCCTTGAACGACGGTAACCAATAACCATTAACCATCAGGCGGGCCGTACTTGTGAAACTACAGGGCAATAAATAAAAAATTTGAAATTTGAAAACATTCGCCGCTTAGTATAAAAAAATGCTCAAAAATGAATTATTAAAAACCACAAGTTTCTGAGATCGATTGAAACACGTATTTCAACATAATATTATTATTTTAGTATTTTCATTTACTTGTAACTATTTTAACATCCGGTAAAGACGGTTAGTCAAGTATTTCGATGGACATTCATCTAAAATAATTATGAAACCTAAATTACTTCTTATATAATAATAAAAAATGTTTCAATATTTTATAACTTTCAACTACTAGACGTATCAACATAAACGAAAGATATAATTAAACGGAAGAAAAATTGTTTCAAATTTGAGATCGTATTCTTTTGTCGTTTATTTCCTCTTAAATTGAAAAATAAAAATATTAATAAAGTATTATAATATAACTTTTAAAATATGTAATTAATTAAACGAATATTAAAATTATTTATAATACGAAAAACTAACAAACAGGCATCAACTAATTGAAATGGTTGTCTACGTCACAGCCGGAGAGTCGGTACTTGTTTTATGAATTTTGTCGGCAAATATAAAGGGTGCCGACACTTTGACTCGCCGACTTTTCGTCGCGCACTTCGAACGAGAATACTGCACAAAACACTTTCAAACGACGTTGAGTTTGTTGGCGACTGAGATATAAAAACTGCAATGGAACCTACGAAAAACTTGACACGGAAACTCTTGGACCTGATGCAGGAGACAGGGTATCCACTGGTGCAGCACAATGGGCAAAGAAGGTACGGGCCACCTCCAGACTGGGTGGGACCACCGCCTCAAAAAGGCTGCGAAGTATTCATAGGGAATTTACCTAGAGAGATCTTCGAGGATGAATTGGTCCCGATATTCGCCACAGTCGGTAAAATCTACGAGATGCGCCTGATGATGGATTTTTCGGGCTCGAACCGAGGTTACGCATTTGTAACTTATACCTCTCGATCGGAAGCCTACCGCGCTACAAGGGAGTTAAATCACCATGAAATTCGACCAGGGAAACACATTGGCGTCGTGAAATCTGTAGACAACTGTCGGCTCTTTGTGGGGAACATACCGAAAACCAAGTCTAAAGAGGAAGTCTATGAAGAGCTGTCTAACCGCGTTACGGGCATTGTCGATGTGATTTTGTACAAAAACGCCTACGACAGGAAACTGAACAGAGGATTTGCTTTTGTGGAGTTCACATCGCACCGCGCGGCTGCTATGGCGCGGCGCGCGCTCATCCCGGGTTGCGTTAAGCTCTGGAATGAAGATGTGATGGTGGACTGGGCTGAACCGGAACCAGACGTTGACGATGAACAGATGAAAACTGTAAGTACGAGTTTAATTTTTACTAAGCGATTTCGATATTTATTGTATGCCAGTCTGTTACCCCGAGACTGTTTATTTCGTTTATAAATAAATAGTAATCCGATAAGTGCTCCGCTGTGGTCTGCGATTCTTTTGTTTATGACTTAGTTTCCAATTGTTTACATCGTGCTGAAGTGCCTGTAACCTTTCGTGTTCCAGGTTAAAGTATTGTACGTACGTAATTTTCTTATAAAAACGACTCCGGACACGATTCAGTCAGTGTTTGAAGCTGCCATTAACGCAAAAATACAACGGATCAAAAAAATTTATGACTACGCGTTCATTCATTTCTATGAGCGTGAGCATGCAGAACTAGCAATGAGGCTGCTTCAGAATTCTGAAATTGATGGTAGCAATATCGAAATAAGATGGGCGAAACCTGTAGTGCGAGAGCTCTACCGTATTCAAAAATTGAACAAAGGCAATGCGAAATTCAATAATACTTTGGACTTCTCCCAAACGCTCTTACTTTATAAACAGCATTTGGAGAAGAAAGAATATGCGAAGTCATTGAAAGAAGACGAAGGGATTGGCTCTGCGTGTGCAGGATCAGTCTGTGGCTCTCCAACTGAAGTAAAGCCTCCAGAGTACAAAAGGATGGACACTCGGTATCCACTAGCTCCTGCCAAGCTAGATTCTATGTGCAAGAGGTTTGTGATTCTGAAAGTTAATCTTCTACTGTCTCCACCTTATCCCATTGGGTAGGGTCGGCAGTCTATTTTTCTATCCATTCTCCTCCATAAGCTGTTGTCTCAAAATTCGCTCCTCTTTCTCACATTTTCATTCGCACACTCCATCAATGTCTTCAACCTCTTCCCCCTTTACCTTGCACTACCATTTCTATACGTCTCCTAGTCACATGCATCTCATCTCTACGTGATAGATGACCATACCACTCCAAATAAAATTCTGAAAATAGTTCTGAAACTCAATGCTGAGGTGGATTAGGTAACTGTAACATCTGTGCTGATAGATGAGTAGCTGTCATTTTGTATCTAATAACCACACTGCATGCCTTTTTTTTTCAATAGATTCTACTATAAAAAAATCTTTCAGATATATGTGGGCCCCGCCATCTTATGAATACCAAAAGCACATTGATGTAGGGGGTACTGAAGTTTGGATTGCGAAGGTAGAATTGCCATATGTGGGACTGCCGTTGCTGACAGTGCCACGCTGTGTTGGACCACTGGTGACGAGAGCTTGTGTCTCTATGCAGCAAGCACAGATAGAGGCTGCTGAAGCTGCATTACATACAATTAAGGTATTTACAGATTTGGTTGTACCAACATAATGTACACGTAATATTTTATGCAGCAAAGAAAGACTTGGAACATTTTGAAATTCATCTACATTGTATAAACTTGAGAGCACTGGTATGCAGCTGCTAGAACCCATATTATTCAGTGTAAATGCCACATCCACAAGCTATCCTACCCTTCAAATTGGAACAACTATTGTCTCCTAGTGAGGTAGTCAGTGACTGTTAATTTTCACCATAATACTTCAGAAGCTTTAGTGTTATTACTTTCTGCTCCATAGGTTCTCCGAGCTGACGTCATTCAGCGCTCTACCATGACTGCAGTGCAACATGTTTATCCATCCATGTTGCCTCAAATGCCAAATTGTGTGCCGTACCCTGCTGTCTACCCAAGTCAGCCTCCAACGATTCCAGTAACACTCCCTACCCTCTGGCGAGCTGTTTGAACCTAGATTTACTTTATTGGTATAGTAATACTGAAATTTGTGTCTTATTCATTTGCAATGAGTCCTAAATTTCCTTGTAGGATTAGTCAGTGTAACATGTTATGTGAATGAGTTTTATTGACGAAAACTCATAACATAGTAGGTGATGGTGAAGTTTCTACATAACTTCATGACATTTAACATTTTCTTGCTTTTATGACATTTTACTGTTGTTTTAAGTTGAATATGGTTACTTTACTTGACTATATGTTTATTGGTTTAATCATTTGTGCTAGTGCAGCAGACTGGTACAACAGTGGATGTTTAAATTTTATTAACTTGATGGTTAATATAAGTTGAATATCTGTCCAGTGGGTTCATCAGTCTGTTGTGCTGGAGTGATTTGTTAAGATTAAGCGTAACAGCTTCTCTGTAATGACTACTTGTATATCTCTTGATAGCTGTCGGGTGTTATTTACTTTGTAAAGCCGACCTGTCAGTGCTTCCTTGTGCTTATACAGAGGTATATTCAGAGCGAAAGCACTGATTTTTTTTATTTTGTTCTGTTATAATATGTATGACACTTATTAATAAAGCTGTTAATGAGAGAATTTTGTTTAAACTGATTTATTCCCCATGCTTGTGACCATTTTTATCCAGATGAAAGACTTATACTTTTGCATACAACTTAAAATCCTTAGGCCTTTGCATGTACAGGGGTTTCGGTATTAGTGGATATTTTATTGATATACAGGCACACGCGTTTAGATATTTATTTGCTTTACATACCAAGTAAAATACATTAATTCTCTTTCTTTAATATGCAGAAACAAAATTGATTGGCTATGGCAAAAACCACTTTTCTTTCTAAGGACGCGTCTTATGGGTATGGTACGGATATATCATTGGTCAATGGTCGCACGGCACTCCGGAGTTCCCGCCATTTCTTGACACTGACACGCTGGTATGCATGACGTGTTGTTCTGTTGTCTGTAGTAGCCGGGCTTGCAAGCGCATCCCGCTTCACATGGTTCGTCAGATTTACAATTGAATTTCGCAACAATGGAAATGCACAACTCTGGAGGACATGTTCTCTTGCAATCTGTGTATTCCTCATTCGGTTCCAGAGCATTTATCTAAAAAAACGTACAAAGATTTTATATACCTACTTAGTCTGGCCATAAATACTGTTACAATTAAAATGAACAAAATATTGCATTTGAATTTGGAATGTCATTTTTATATGATTGCTCATTGAGTTTTCTCATTTTGGCGCCAATACATCGTAACATATTTCACGATATTAAAATGGAGTGGGGTGATAAAGAGAACCAAATCGCTGTGATTGCATTACACAAAGTAGGTATGGAGCCAAATGCAATTTTTAGAACTCTCCATTCCATATGCTTGGTATTAGTAAAATGTTGGTGTACCGGGCTATTAATAGGTGCAATGAGACCTCCTCTGTTTGTGACAGAAAAAGATCTGGCCGTCCATGGGAAAGAATTCGAAGAAGTCCCGTCCGAAAGCAAAAGATTTTATCTCGGGAAATGACGATAGCACCTAGAACCATGTTGCGTATTTTAAAAGATGACTTGGGACTTGCAGCCTATAAGAAACTTACTGGTCATTTCTTAACTGATAATTTAAAAGAGAATAGGGTGGTAAAATCGAAACAACTACTGAAGCGGTACGCAAAGGGAGGTCATAGAAAAATTTTGTTTACGGATGAGAAAATTTTTACAATTGAGCAACATTTTAATAAACAAAATGACCGTATTTATGCTCAAAGCTCTAAGGAAGCTTCCCAATTAGTCGACAGAGTGCAACGTGGGCACTATCCGACTTCAGTGATGGTTTGGTGGGGTATTAGCTATGAAGGAGTGACTGAGCCATACTTTTGTGAAAAAGGTATCAAAACATCGGCACAAGTGTATCAAGATACCATTCTTGAGAAGGTAGTGAAGCCCCTTAACAACACCATGTTCAATAATCAAGAATGGTCCTTCCAGCAAGACTCGGCGCTAGGTCATAAAGCTCTGTCTACGCAGTCTTGGTTGGAAACGAACGTTTCGGACTTCATCAGAGAAGTCCCGAAAACAATCCGAACGATTGGCAGTGAAAAATTTTCCCATGGAAAGAGTGCAACGTTTAAAGGACTGTATTGCAGCCAATGAAGACCACTTCGAATAAGCTTTTTATATTTTAAATTGTTTTATATTTATGTATTAAACTAACACACTGTAAAAGTAATAAATGTTATTTGCAATAGATTTATTATTATTTTTAATTGTAACAGTATTTATGACCAGACTAAGAACTGTGCAATAAACCTTGTATAATAAAAGTGTTTATTAAGCTCATGGAGGAATTATGGAGAAAGCTGGTGCAAAAACTAGACTAAGGTGGTCACGACCCTCAGTAATGAGAAAACGACGAAGAAGATGTTCATGTCAAATTTTTACTAAAAATACGCTGTTTTGATTCACCATAAAAATTTAACTTTTGATTAAAGGAACATTACTGGCAGTCATGATGATCATGTTCAATGTGGGTGCGGCTCAGTTGTTTAATGTCTACTCTTGATATTTTGAGGAAGTTTTATACAGTAGAAAATAAATTATTTTTATAAACAAGTTTCAGCGTAGAGTATGTACGGTACCTAAGTGGTCGCCATCATAGAGCACTGGAAATCATACGTTAAGCTGAAAGTCAGTAGGTAGGTGGAGCTCAAAAAGATTGTCTAACAAAAGACAATTAAACTTCCTAAAAGAAGTTCTTACATAGGCACTGCACCTGTTTGAACTATTTTGACGGACACGCTTAAAGAACACTATGATCTTCTAGACTGTCCGAGTTTCATCTTCCACGCCGGAAATATTCGTCGTTTCTCAGAATATCTAACTAGCAGAGCTTACTGAACTGTTGGAAACAAACCTACCTAAGGACCTCACAATAAAAAGTATTAAATACCATGATGTTACGAACGAGCCAACCAAAGATTGATACGTGGTTAGCTTATATGCTGCGAAGTAGGAGCGAGAGCTGTGGCAGCGAAATCTATAACATATTAAAAAGCTTTGGCTTGTGTTAAGTTCTATATTTAAACGAAAATCTAACGCCATACTAGCAGGTTCTTATCAAATTTGGCTTCAACTTAAAAAATTTAGAAGAGAAATAGAAAGAATGGAGTTGAGTTTAATGCTCCTTAATAGGGGATATATGATAGATAGATAGGGCCTCTTAATATTATTGATATTCGATCTTCTTCCTGACTGAGTACGTGCGCGCTTACCGCTCCTGGCGAAGCTGAAAAAAACATTCTGTCCATCGGTCTACCGAGAAATTGCAACATCCCTATGTCCATACCTCCAAACAAGGCTTAAGATTAATCGCTGAAGCGCTTTTTTTTTCCTACCTAAGCTGATAACCTTGAGAGGCTATATCAGCGTCGCCATAACTAGTAGTTGAGCTCACGGGGCTCAAGCCTGATGACGTTGCTAACACGAACCCTAGCAAGAGCCGTGCTTCGCAGAATCTACCACCGGATCGGAAACGCGACCCACTGAGAAGATCTGGCGAGAAACTCAGTGGGCTGTGTCTGAGGGTTAATTTACTCGTCGAGCCCTTTGTCGCAAGCGACGGTTTCGGCGAGAACGATGACCGGTGCTTGAGGTACCTAAAAGCACCGTTAGTGGATCGGGAGGATCCGAAATGACGTGCTTGGGGCGACGTCGACTGCTTTCCATTCTGACCGCAGGACCGATCCTGCGGTTAGAATAGCCACGATGAGAGGGTTCTCGTGTCGTGCCGCTTTATCGAAGTGGCGCATCGACGCCGACTGAAGATACTTACTGATGAACTCTAAGTCCAGGTCGTCATTGAGGTCGACGTTCCTAACGAACCATGGAGCTCCGACGGCTATCCTGCAAAAACGGGATTGAATAACTTGGAATGATTTTAAGTTAGTGCGGGTGAGCGAGAGCGAACACTACGCTTGCATAGGTCATGACGGGGCGTATGCAAGTTTTGTAGAGTGTCACCTTATTTCTAAGGGACAATTTACTTCGCCTGCATATCATCGGCGAAACTTTCTAAAACTACTCGCTCTATGGTTTCCCAATAATCTACAGTTTTTCTCCAGACAGCGCACCTAGCATGCCTTTTATTAAATGTCTTCGAAAGAAAAAGAATGACTTTCGCTGTCTCGGGTTGATTTTAAATTTAATTTTGAATTCCGGTACTCAAAATTTTTTTTAAATAGTTTTCGTAATACCAGTGGCATAGCTAGGTAACCAAGGGCCCTGGGGCAAATTAAAAAATGGGGCCCCACTGCTATGTAAACTGATTAGGTTTTATCAAATAAAAATATGAAATATACAAATACTTTAAAAATTCTAAGCTACATTAAGCTCTTTTTTGTGCACTGCAGGGCAGGTAATAAAAATATTAAACAGTAGCAACATAAATTATAATTAATACTTGGTGTAGGTTAGGCTAATAAAACGAAATAGAGAAGATTCAGGGCCTTTTTTTTCGGGCTGGGTCCGAACCTTCTACGAGGTCTCCACGCCTAGGGGGCGCGCGCGGTATGTGGGACTGGTCCGCGACTGTGAGACCAAGGATGTTTTCAGGGCCCTACCCACTAAACTACTCCCCGGCACTCTTCGCACAAGCGTCCGATCCCCTCCGAGGTCAGAACCCGGATGAGGTAGGGGGGTTACCGTGGTCACTACAACCAGACGGCGCGGCGCAGCTCAGCTCAAGGACGCCCGGCCGACGTTTCAGAGCCTTCGATTCGCCTCGAAGGCTCTGTCAGCCGTCTGGGTACGGCAGCCCGTCAGGCCGCCCTGACGGTGCCGCTGGTGTCCCGGAATGCCCCGCTGGACCAGAACCAGCCTGCCGGGTCGGGACGCGATACACTCGGTGTATCTTATCTCCTTGGCAGCGCGCTAGCGTGTTGGTAGCGCACCGCGCGGCCTCTACGAGCTTACTCCTGATACAGTATTAATTTTTTAACCGTTCTCGAAAAAAAAAACTTAACTCGAATTCAGAATAAAACGCACATCGATGAATAATAAAACGCACATATCACCATCCGTCAAATTGACAACACTGGCAACCTACAGAAAGAATTTAGGGGAATTCCCTAAACATAACATTTTAATTTATCTCAACTGAGTTGTCATGATTAAAGTGGGGTTGCAGCCTGTCATATTTATTTTGAAAATAGGTGAAATTTCCAAAAGTTCAGTTTGATCGAGATTTCTGGTAAGGAATCGAGGGCCCCCTGAGCTTGGGGGCCCCGGGGCACTGCCCCGCCTAACCCCTAGGTAGCTACGCCACTGCGTAATACTGTCTCGCCCTAAAATTGCATGCGAATTTTTGGTATCAGATGAAAATAAAAACACGCTCTCTTAGCCAAAGACCGAACTTAAGTTGGTTGAAATAATAAAAAAGGTTCTTAAAAAAAGTATTAATGGAATAAATACCACAGTTTTCCTCTTCTATACATTCGTAACTTTCGTTCCGTACGTAACCTTCGTCACAAACGCATTTCTGTTCACGTTTCTGGTCGGCGAGACAACTGAACTTGATCCCTCTGTTTTTGCACGACCGTTCGGGTGGACAATCCATCACGAATGCATGTTTCTCGTGGGGCCGTGTGCAACTCGGTACTAAAATAGTAAAGTAACAATAATTTTCCTAAAGACAGTGTTATTTTAATTGCTACCAAAGAACACTAGCCTGCTCTCCGTTTGATTTTAGTTAAATTAAAATATCAGTAAATCATTTTTAAGAATGATCATGTGACTCATGATCATGATCAACTGACTGGATAAAAATCATACGCTATCGTCTGGCCCCAAAACATTTTTGTCTGTAATATTGGAACCAGAGACTGATTGATAGACACACGTATAAATTTAAACAAAGAGCAAATATGTGCACGTTATATTAGTGTGCTCGATGTGGGAATCGACCCTCCAGCCAGTAGTCTCCAATATTTTAACGAAATAAGCTCTTAAGTTAATAAATGTTCATGAATTACTTCGATGAAGTATGACGGAATAACATAAATAAATAAAATATAATAAAATCAAACCCGCAAAAACAATAATATACGTATTTATTATTATTTACAAGTCTCTCATCTATTTTCAAATTGTTTTGAACTATAATAAATTCCATTGATCGTTTCGGTTTTTTGGCTGTATGGGCTCTATTCCATTTGCAAAATGTTAAACAGATAACTATGAATTGCACCACAAAGCTTCAGACATCAGAGATTGTGTACAAACTACAAAATTACAAATTCAAAACTTTAAACTATAAAAGTACCTACCTATAGTCGGATTTTTAATTAGACGAAGCCAGCTGACAGTAGCTAATGTCACTTTGTGAAATAATGTTGCTATATTTAAAGTAATAGTGTTGAGTTCAGTTCTTGTTCAATCATATGAATGAACAATGAGTGTGAAGAGTTAATCATTAATTTCAAATTATAAAAGAATATAATTTATATTTTACAATAAAATTGTATTAAAGTGCTCCAATATATGTTACTAGTAGTATGTAACTACAATCAGTTTTTTTTATTTTCATTACCTACCTATAATTGTTATATTTTATACATCTATAGTTTCAACTATATGATGTGTTGGAAATAGGACAGTCTTACAAGCTTCATCGCAATGTTTTTCTTAATGTTTAAAACACTCGATATTCGGTACAGGTAAATACTATAGGAACATAATATTTCGTCGAAAAGTCGTTGGTATGCACAAAGCACGCCTAAAATTCGAACCCCGTACCCGATATCGGCAATTCGGCACACCGACTATTCACTAGACAATCGAGGCAATTTCATTAATTCAGGAGTTTTTTCAATCGTTTACTTTGTCACAACACTTTTTATTTCATCAAAAACTGACAACACAGTAAACGTCAGTTGACTTCGTCTAATAAAAAATCCGACTATATGTACAAATGCAATTTGAATTTTTTTTATTCAATTTAAATTTTAAATAAGCAGCCCTATATAGATAGTGAAACCCTCTCGAAAAGTGGAAAAACTAAAAAAAACCCTGTGTATTTCTAAACTATTGTAAAGTGAGGTAAACTAATATCATGCAAAATTTAACATGTCTTGTAAATTAACAGGTCGAGTGAAAACTGAAATTGCGACAATGTTGGGACATAAAATTAATCCAAACAAAATAAAAAACGTGTGTACACTATTACGAAGAGTAAACACTTTAAAACACCTGTGTAACAACAATAGAACAATTAACTCATTTATTAAACGAAATGAAAATGTAACCTCTAATATACCGTTTTGCCGACGCGCACATAATATTAAAAATAAACATAAAATTGACGATGGACGATTAATAATTAATGGATTCACGATTAGAACTCATACATGCGGCGAATTGAGACCTAAGAATGTCGGTGAAAGAGTCGTCATATGCGGCTGGGTGCAGTATTCACGTCTGTCCAAATTTTTACTGCTTCGAGACGCCTATGGACTCACACAATGCATTGTTGGTAGTGACGATACTGATTTATCCAGCTTACAACTAGAATCTGTAGTACAAATTGAAGGCATGGTTTCCATAAGGCCCAGAGACACAGTGAACCATGAAATGGCTACCGGTGAAATTGAGGTCACCATAATAAAGTTAAAAGTTTTAAATCCATCAGAAAAAGTAGCATTCAACTTAAGAAACTATCAGAAACCAAAAGAACAATTGAGAATGCAACATCGATACATTGCTTTAAGATTTCCCGAGATGCAAAATAATTTAAGAACTAGATCACAGATGCTGCATAAGATGCGGAGATTTCTAGTGGAAAATTATGGGTTTATCGAAGTTGAGACTCCAACACTTTTCTGCAGGACACCAGGTGGTGCTAGAGAATTTGTTGTCCCCACTCGTCATAAAGGATTGTTCTATTCTTTAGTCCAAAGTCCTCAACAATTCAAACAAATGCTTATGTCTGGTGGAATAGACCGGTATTTCCAAGTAGCCAGGTGCTACAGAGACGAGACCACTCGTCCAGACCGTCAACCAGAATTTACTCAGTTGGATATTGAACTATCTTTTACCACTCTAGAAGGAGTTCTAACATTGATTGAAGAGATGCTATATGATACTTTTACGAAACCATTACCAAGACCTCCATTTAATAGAATTACATATAAAGAAGCACTGGAAAATTATGGAAGTGATAAACCAAATTTACTGTATGATTTGAAATTTATAAACATCAAACATTTATTTGACAAAAAAGAAAATGACAACTTTGGTGCTCTCCTGCTGCCTTACCCCAGTGAGATGGGGAAGCTTACCACCAAATATAAAGAGAAAGTAAAGGATATAGCAAAAAAATATAATGCAAAGGTTGTGTTGAATGAAAATATATCAAAGGAATATACAAGTGATCTACAAGAGAGAATACAAGATGCCATTGGTCAGAATCGTGCTGCAATTATATCTATAAGCGAAGACACTGAAAATGCCTGCCTATGTTTAGGAGAAATTAAAGAAATGATAATATCAGTATTGAAATCTAAGGAGCTGCTAAAAGTTAATGACAATGTTGCACCTCTGTGGGTGATCGACTTCCCGTTATTTGTGAAAGGGGATGATGGACTTCAACCATGCCATCATCCCTTTACAGCGCCTCATCCGGATGACCTACATTTATTAGAAACGGAGCCATTGAAAGTTCGGTCATTAGCATATGATTTAGTGATGAATGGTAATGAAATAGGAGGTGGTTCAGTCCGAATACACAGTCCGCATTTACAAGTTAAAATTATGAAGATGTTGAACATAGATCCAGAGAAATTGAGGCATTTTGTGAATGCATTAAGTAGTGGCTGTCCTCCTCATGCCGGCATTGCTCTTGGTATTGACAGGCTAATGGCAATTGCCTGTGATGCAGAGTCTATAAGAGACGTGATTGCATTCCCCAAGTCTCATGATGGCCGTGACCCTCTGTCAGGTGCACCTAATGTTTTATCACATAGTGATAGAAATTATTATCATTTAAATCATATTAAATGAAAGATTAATATTATAAATGTTTTTTATAAGATATACATGTGTAGATATTAAATACCCACACAAAGACCAAACAAACCTGTTTGTCACACGAAGATTTACCAGATGTGGGAATTGAACCCAGTCGGCAACTAGGTCTGGCAGTCAACAGTGCTAACCACTACACCGACACGAGTCAGGTAAATGAGAAAATGCCAAAAGTGAAAAATGTTAATTAGATGAAGTAGATGTAATATGAATTAAATGAATCAAACATAATTGAATACAATAGCGAAAAGTATTTTTAATATGCTTTTATTAGCTTCAGACGTATGTATGTTAGTATTGTAACAGAATCTTTGAACATGATTTTGACCCCCTTCAAAACGTCGGATTAACTCAAAATTTGGTATACTTATTAAGGATGATGACAATACAATATTTTAAAAAAAATTTAAAAAGTTGAAATTCAACTAAAAAATTAAAATTAAATATGTAATAGTTAAAAACAAAAAAATACGTTTTTATAGAAAATTCAACAAAATAATGGAAAATAAATAATAGTTTAAAAAAACTAAAAAATGTGATTCAGGATATTACCAAAAACTATTTTTTATTTTGTAGCCCTTAACTGGGTAAACGTGCTTAGACCCCAAATGTTGTTAAGTGATAATTGAATGTTATAAACACAACATAAATAGAGGTGGCGTCAAACTAGATGTTTATCATTCTACCTTTAAAACCGAAATGTTATAGTTCGTATTGTGTTGCTCTATTTTTTATATTTTTTATTTGTAAACTAAATCAGAAATTTCTCTTCGTATCCATTGTTCACTTTCTACACGGAATAGATAAATAAGGTATCTTATTTATCTATTCTGTGATTTTCTACCTATATTATGTGATTTTGATGGTGGAAACTTATTTGATTATTGTTTAAGCTATTTTTTAATATATGTTTGTTTTATACTGTTGGTTTCCCAAATAAATAAATATAAATAAACACGTGACAGCTTTGTGACAGATATCGACAAGACGGTAGACACGACCGGTGCGAACTCAACCCGCCCATCTGTAATTACGCAAATATTTATACATTTTGTGTGTTGTGTCGTCATTGGAAGAAAATACCCCGTCACTCTCTTTGGCCAGCCCATACCGTGGGCCTCGCAGGTCAAATACCTAGGCGTCACCCTCGACAGAAGGATGACATTCCGTCCCCATATTAAAACGGTACGCGACCGTGTCGCCTTCATNACCGGTGCGAACTCAACCCGCCCATCTGTAATTACGCAAATATTTATACATTTTGTGTGTTGTGTCGTCATTGGAAGAAAATACCCCGTCACTCTCTTTGGCCAGCCCATACCGTGGGCCTCGCAGGTCAAATACCTAGGCGTCACCCTCGACAGAAGGATGACATTCCGTCCCCATATTAAAACGGTACGCGACCGTGTCGCCTTCATATTAGGACGTCTAGCCTATGCTTTGCAAGCGATGCAAACTGTCCCTCCGTAATAAGGTAACTCTACAAAACTTGCATACGCTCCGTCATGACGTATGCAAGCGTAGTGTTCACTCACGTAGCCCGCACCCACTTGAGACCCCTTCAGGTTATTCAATCCAGATTCTGCAGGATAGCCGTCGACGCACCATGGTTCCTGAGGAACGTGGATCTCTACGATGACCTGGAGCTCGACTCTGTCAGTAAGTATCTACAGTCGGCATTATTGCGGCATTTTGAGAAGGCGGCACGAAAACCCTCTTGTCGTGACCGCTGGAAACTACATACCTGATCCTATAGACCGAAGGGTGTTTAGGTACCACAAGCACCGGTCACCGTCCTCGTCGAACCCGTCGCTTGCGACGAAGGGCTCGACGAGCGAATTAACCCATAGACACACCTCACTGAGTTTCTCGCCGAATCTTCTCATTGGGTCGCGTTTCCGATCCGGTGGTAGATTTTGCGAAGCACTGCTCTTGCTAGGGTCAGTGTTAGCAACACTCCGGTATGAGACCCGTGAGCTCACCTACACACGTTAGGGTGAAGCTGAAATAGCCTCTCAAAGCTATCAGCATAGGTAGGAAAACAAAGGAAGAATTTTGGTTTACGATTGTATTGGATTAATTCTTGGAAGACTAGAAATTCAATTTCTAATACATACTCTTATTTCATTGTAGATCGAGGAAAACTTGTACCAAAGTCTTCGCTGTTAAAAAACAGGAAATCTTACTCTAAGAAAAACCCCGCTTAATAAGATTTTATAATTTTCCTCAATCGTTACATGTTAAATGAACGCATTCTTAACAAGACTATTTTTAGGTTCTTTTTTTTATTGCCCTTGTAGGCAGACGAGCATGGGGTCCGCCTAATGGTAAGTGGTTACCGTCGCTCATGGACGTAGCGATTCCAGGAGCACGTCCAAGTAGCTGCCTACCATAATAGTATCGCCATTTTATTCCACCAATAGCCTGCTCGTTTCCATTGTTAAGTAATCGTAAGGGCACTTTTAATGGTAGGGCATGTGTACCCGTTTGCCACGAAGCAGTTTCAGTCTAAATAGAAAAATAAATATATTATTTAGAATTTCACGTCACGTTCGAAGTCAAATGGGTGCAATACATATTGCTATTTAAGCACCCGGCCAATAATGTTTGCATGTAAAACAATAATAGCAGTACACAATAAATTCATTTAAATAAAATGTATATAAAATATGAATAGATAATAATGAGAACGTACCGTAGCTGTACACATAATAAACACAACAGAACAATAAAACCACAACTCGCGNACACATAATAAACACAACAGAACAATAAAACCACAACTCGCGTCTTCATTTTGCGAACTAAAGTTGAATTCTGATCAAAAACTAGCGTTACTACTCGCTTTTATATATTTTTTTTCTTATGTTGTTACCAGAGTTTGCAAACTATATAGTTTAGTTTGAATGACGTTACTGTTTATTGACTATTCTGCGTTAAATGTATGTTTTTATACGGGCAGCTACCACCGTCCTACCAGTTACTGTCGTATCTGTTTGTAAGTGACGGTGTTCAAGCCGTAATTTCTGTAAATCATCATCTATTTCTTATCTTCGAAAGTCATCACTATTTTTTCATAAGTCACTTCTACGGGCTCTAATATCTACATAACACTAAGTGAGCTTTAAGCAGTGTGCTCTCCGACAGGAATAAAGAAGAAAACATTTCTTTTTGTTATTTTATTAATTTGAAGTCGTCGTGGCCCGAATGAAAACACGCCCGGGCATTCGCATCGTATCCCACAGATAGGTAACAAATTTTCTAATGAAATACAAACTTAACAGATGTTCACGGTTGACTTCTTCATACGGTGAAGGAATAACGTCGTGTAATAAAAATTAAACCCGCAAAATTATAATTTTCGTAAATACTGATGGTAGGATGTCTTTGTGAGTCCACGCGGGTAGGTACCACCACTCTACCTATTTCTGCCGTGAAGCAGTAATGCGTTTCGGTTTCAAGGGCGGGGCAGCCGTTCTATACTGAGACCCTTCGATCAACAATAGTAACCTGAGACCTTAGAACTCGTATCTNGTACCTACCTATAGTCGGATTTTTAATTAGACGAAGCCAGCTGACAGTAGCTAATGTCACTTTGTGAAATAATGTTGCTATATTTAAAGTAATAGTGTTGAGTTCAGTTCTTGTTCAATCATATGAATGAACAATGAGTGTGAAGAGTTAATCATTAATTTCAAATTATAAAAGAATATAATTTATATTTTACAATAAAATTGTATTAAAGTGCTCCAATATATGTTACTAGTAGTATGTAACTACAATCAGTTTTTTTTATTTTCATTACCTACCTATAATTGTTATATTTTATACATCTATAGTTTCAACTATATGATGTGTTGGAAATAGGACAGTCTTACAAGCTTCATCGCAATGTTTTTCTTAATGTTTAAAACACTCGATATTCGGTACAGGTAAATACTATAGGAACATAATATTACGTCGAAAAGTCGTTGGTATGTACAAAGCACGCCTAAAATTCGAACCCCGTACCCGATATCGGCAATTCGGCACACCGACTATTCACTAGACAATCGAGGCAATTTCATTAATTCAGGAGTTTTTTCAATCGTTCACTTTGTCACAACACTTTTTATTTCATCAAAAACTGACAACACAGTAAACGTCAGTTGACTTCGTCTAATAAAAAATCCGACTATATGTACAAATGCAATTTGAATTTTTTTTATTCAATTTAAATTTTAAATAAGCAGCCCTATATAGATAGTGAAACCCTCTCGAAAAGTGGAAAAACTAAAAAAAACCCTGTGTATTTCTAAACTATTGTAAAGTGAGGTAAACTAATATCATGCAAAATTTAACATGTCTCTTGTAAATTAACAGGTCGAGTGAAAACTGAAATTGCGACAATGTTGGGACATAAAATTAATCCAAACAAAATAAAAAACGTGTGTACACTATTACGAAGAGTAAACACTTTAAAACACCTGTGTAACAACAATAGAACAATTAACTCATTTATTAAACGAAATGAAAATGTAACCTCTAATATACCGTTTTGCCGACGCGCACATAATATTAAAAATAAACATAAAATTGACGATGGACGATTAATAATTAATGGATTCACGATTAGAACTCATACATGCGGNTCGTATCTCAAGGTGAGCAGCGGCGCGGCGGCATTTACGTTGTAGATCCTCTTACGCACACGACCGTCCTACTTCGTCGCGTTGAAACTGACAATTGGTTCAGTAACTGAATTTAGAACAGTGTAATCAGAAGCTTCTAAATTTGCTCCTGAATTCAGTCGACTAAATTCAGCCAAATGTAATAAGCCTTTTAGAATTCATATCTCAAGGTGAGTGGCGGCGTTTACGTTGTAGATGTCAATGGGCTCTGGTAACCCTTTAACATCAGATAGGCCGTGTGCTCGTTCACCCTATAATTATGTAACTATCATAAACAGGTTTTGATTTTATTAAGGTTTATTAAGGCTTCGTTATTAAACGATAAGGATTTTATAACTGATATTGAAGAAATTCATGAAATACAATGAAAAAATAATATCTAATAATAATTTGTCAATTTAATAACAAATAAATATTTTTGTTTACCTATGATGAGTTTTACAATATTTTAGAGCATCTTTATACGAGAATAATTTCTTAATTAACTTGAAAAAATATAGGATAATGTTTTTGAAATCCATTATCATTAATTTAACTTTGTATTATAATGTTGCACAGTCAGGAGAGCTAGCCATTTGCGGACATTCGCAAATCTTAACACAGGCCGAATTGTCGTCGAGTTTCAAGTAATCTGGTTTGCAAGCGCATCCCTCTTCGCAGGGTTTGGGCTTACTACAATCAAAACGAGCGACGAGTGAATTGCAAGTACGCGGCGGACATGGGTTCGTGCAGTTGGTAAACTCCTCATTTTCGCCTGAACATTCCTCTGGAAAAAAAACTTGTTGTTTAGGTTTCGTACATGGCATCATAGTGGGTAGGTACCACCACCCCGTTTCTGCCGCGAAGCTGTAATGCGATTCGATTTGAAGTTTTTTTTTCTTCTACCTAACCTTATAGCCTTGAGAGGCTATTTCAGCGTAAGCTTAACTAGTAGATAGGTGATCTCACGGAGCTCAAACCTGACGACGTTGCTAACACAACCCTAGCAAGAGCCGTGCTTCGCAGAATTTACCACTGGATCCGAAACGCAACCCACTGAGACGATCCGGAGAGAAACTCGGTGGGCTGTGTCTGTGGCTTAATTTACCTACTCGTCGAGCCCTTCGTCGCAAGTGACGGGTTCGACGAGAACGATGATCGGGATTACAAGGGTGGGACAGCCGTTACACTAGACCATTGAGACTTAGACTCTTATGTTTGAGACATGAGGTGGATGGTGACATTTACTTTGTGATGCCTAAGGGACCCAGTGGCAGTTAAGATCAACTGAGCTGTAAACTCGTCTGTTCGTCTATGATAACGAATATCTTAAATGAATAAGAGGCCATTCGTAAAGCATAGAACAATAGAGTATCTCTTTGACATCAGCAGATAGGTTACAAATCAGTTTTGAGAGACGGGATGATTTTGTACGGTAAGTATGTTCTGGTTTTTAGTCAAAACACAAACACAGCATCCTCGGGCTTGTATTATTCCTCTGCATTGGTCGTCAAATTTGACCAGATTTATAAGGAAACGCGTGGGGCGCGGTAAGCTTCTCTACCAGAGACGAGTTTCAAATTAAATGAAAGAATAGCTATTATTCCAATCGATTCTACTATATTCGGTGCGGTAGTAGTGGCAGCAATGGAGCTGTGGTGTAAACAAAACTTGTCAAGTTAAAATAACATAGAAATATTTATTTGCTCGTTACAATTGATCGAACCAACTTTTACATTGTACGATGATGTTCACGAACGCCAACACTATGAACAAACTGAACGACATCGCGTTTGATATTCAAATAGCCCGTGTGTATTTATATTGTTATTATTTTTAAGCCGTATTTTTCGTGAACTTGTTTTTTAGGCGATTCCGCGTGTCGATAGTTCCGAAAAACTATTTTTATGTTTAATTTAAAACTCTAATTATTTAACTGCCCTAATTGTGTAGTACCAATTAATCAATTAAGACTATGGACAATAGTTTGCCAGTGCAGTGGTCGGCAACCCGTGGCGAACTGCATGAGGCTCTTGGACTTTTCAGTTACGTCTCTTCCGCGAAATGCTTAGTTCAGGTACGGAATGTCTTATTGAGCCAACCAAAGATTGTAGGCAGCGACTTGGCTCTGCCCATGGCATTGTTGAAGTCCATGGGCGACGGTAACCACTCACCATCAGGTGGGTCGTGTGCTCGTCTGCCTACAAGGGCAATAAAAAAAATTGATACGTGGTTAGCTTATATGCTGCGAAGTAGGAGCGAGAGCTGTGGCAGCGAAATCTATAACATATTGAAAAGCTTTGGCTTGTGAAGAACTTCTTAAGTTCTATATTTAAACGAAAATCTAACGCCATACTAGCAGGTTCTTATCAAATTTGGCTTGAACTTAAAAAATTTAGAAGAGAAATGGGAAGAATGGAGGTGAGTTTAATGCTCCTTAATAGGGAATATATGATAGATATATAGGGCCTCTTAATATTAATGACATTCGATCTTCCTCCTGACAGCACGTGCGCGCTCACCTCTCCTAGCGAAGCTGAAAAAAACATTCTGTCCATCGGTCTACTCGGTAGATTGCAATTGCATCTTTCCTATGTCCATACCTCCCAACAAGGCTTAAAATTAATTGCTGAAGCGCGCGAAGCTTTCTAAAACTATTTAGGTACTCCATGGTTTCCCAATAATCTAGTTTTTCTCCAGACGCGCCCCTAACATGCCTTTCATTAAATGTCTTCGAAAGAAAAAGAATGGCTTTCGCTGTCTCGGATTGATTTTAAATTTAATTTTGAAATCTTTTAAGTAAATAGTTTTCGTAATACTATCTCGCCCTAAAATTGCATGCGCTTTTTGGATCTCAGATGAAAATAAAAACACGCTCGCTTAGCCGAAGACCGAACATAAGTTGGTTGAAATTATAAAAAAAGGTTCTTAAAAAAAGTAATAATGGAATAAATACCACAGTTTTCCTCTTCTATACATTCGTTACTTTCGTTCCGTACGTAACCTTCGTCACAAACGCATTTCTGTTCACGTTTCTGGTCGGCGAGACAACTGAACTTGATCCCTCTGTTTTTGCACGACCGTTCGGGCGGACAATCCATCACGAAGGCATGTTTCTCGTGGGGCCGTGTGCAACTCGGTCGGTACTAAAATAATAAAGTAACTCAATAATATTCCTAAGTTAATCGTTAAAAACAGTGTTATTTTAATATTTACCAAAGAACATAAGCCTGCTCTGCTCTGCTTTGATTTTAGTTATATTAAAATGTCAGTAAATCATTTAAAAAATGATCATGTAGCTGACCGGATATAAATCATACACTATCGTCTGGCCCCAAACTAATTTTATGTGTATTATTGAAACCAGAGACTGATATACATACGTATAAATATATACAAAAAACACAAAGAGTTACATTATAGTGTGCTCGATGTGAGAATCGACCCTCCAGCCCAATAGTCAGAGATGCTAGCTACTGTAACACAAAGTTCATTACAAAATATTTATACACTTGCTAAGAAAAACCGTACAATGTAACTAACAAATAAACAGTAAACAATTCAATCTAAATTGATTTCTACTGTGGTAGAGGTAGCCATTTTTACGCAATTAACAAATATTTATTCTATTAGTTTAAAATATAGATGAATTCCTCCTCCTTGCGTCAATAATCCATATTGATGAGGTTCGTGGCCTCTTCTAATAACTTTCTCCTGGATTATCCTGCGCCAGCCCTGCCTTTCCTCAGCTGCGCGGATGACATCGTGGATTCAAGCTTAAATAAATCATCTACAAACATGCGTTCAACCCACGCTTACTATTTTGAAGTCGTCGTAGCTTATAGGATAACATCCCATGAATATCGACCGATATTAATGCTCCGGTGCCAATGTTCAAATCCCGCAGTAGACTTCAATATTTTAACGAAATAAGCTCTTATGTTAATAAATGTTCATGAGTTATTTCGATGAAGTATGACGAAATAGTATAAATAAATAATATATAATAAAAATCAAACGCGCAAAAACAATACTTATTTAATTTAAGTATTTACTATTATTTACAAGTCTCTCAACTATTTTCAGTGTTTTGAGCTATAATATATTCCAATCATCCTTTCAGGTTTTATCTGGCTGTATGGCATATACTCCATTTGCTTACGTAATGAAAGAGTCAAACAGAAAACTCAGAAAAGCCACAAAGTTCACAAAGCTTCAGTTAATGTGTACAAATAATATGTACAAATATGTAACATACTTAATACTTATTTCAATACTTTTGCATGCAATTTGAAAAAAATATTCAGCTCAAATTTAAATAAGCAACTCTCGAGTACATTTCACTCTATATATATAGTGAAACTAAAAAAACCATCGTGTATTTCTAAACTATTGTAAAGTGAGGCAAACTAATATCATGCAAAACATAATGTCTCTTGTAAATTAACAGGTCGAGTGAAAACTGAAATTGCGACAATGTTGGGACATAAAATTAATCCAAACAAAATTAAAAACGTGTGTACACTATTACGAAGAGTAAACACTTTAAAACACCTGTGTAACAACAATAGAACAATTAACTCATTTATTAAACGAAATGAAAATGTAACCTCTAATATACCGTTTTGCCGACGCGCACATAATATTAAAAATAAACATAAAATTGACGATGGACGATTAATAATTAATGGATTCACGATTAGAACTCATACATGCGGCGAATTGAGACCTAAGAATGTCGGTGAAAGAGTCGTCATATGCGGCTGGGTGCAGTATTCACGTCTGTCCAAATTTTTACTGCTTCGAGACGCCTATGGACTCACACAATGCATTGTTGGTAGTGACGATACTGATTTATCCAGCTTACAACTAGAATCTGTAGTACAAATTGAAGGCATGGTTTCCATAAGGCCCAGAGACACAGTGAACCTTGAAATGGCTACCGGTGAAATTGAGGTCACCATAATAAGCTTAAAAGTTTTAAATCCGCAGAAAAAGTAGCATTCAACTTAAAAAACTATCAGAAACCAAAAGAACAATTGAGAATGCAACACAGATACATTGATTTAAGATTTCCCGTGATGCAAAATAATTTAAGAACTAGATCACAGATGCTGCATAAGATGCGGAGATTTCTAGTGGAAAATTATGGGTTTATCGAAGTTGAGACTCCAACACTTTTCTGCAGGACACCAGGTGGTGCTAGAGAATTTGTTGTCCCCACTCGTCATGAAGGATTGTTCTATTCTTTAGTCCAAAGTCCTCAACAATTCAAACAAATGCTTATGTCTGGTGGAATAGACCGGTATTTCCAAGTAGCCAGGTGCTACAGAGCTACCACTCGTCCAGACCGTCAACCAGAATTTACTCAGTTGGATATTGAACTATCTTTTACCACTTTAGAAGGAGTTCTAACATTGATTGAAGAGATGCTATATGATACTTTTACGAAACCATTACCAAGACCTCCATTTAATAGAATTACATATAAAGAAGCACTGGAAAATTATGGAAGTGATAAACCAAATTTACTGTATGATTTGAAATTTATAAACATCAAACATTTATTTGACAAAAAAGAAGATGACAACTTTGGTGCTCTCCTGCTACCTTACCCCAGTGAGATGGGGAAGCTTACCACCAAATACAAAGAGAAAGTAAAGTATATAGCAAAAAAATAAAATGCAAAGGTTGTGTTGAATGAAAATATATCAAAGGAATATTCAAGTGAAATACAAGAGAGAATACAAGATGCCATTGGTCAGAATCGTGCTGCAATTATATCTATAAGCGAAGACACTGAAAATGCCTGCCTATGTTCAGGAGAAATTAAAGAAATAATAATATCAGTATTGAAATCTAAAGAGCTGCTAAAAGTTAATGACAATGTTGCGCCTCTGTGGCTGATCGACTTCCCGTTATTTGTGAAAGGAGATGATGGACTTCAACCATGCCATCATCCCTTTACAGCACCTCATCCGGATGACCTACATTTATTAGAAACTGATCCATTGAAAGTTCGGTCATTAGCATATGATTTAGTGATGAATGGTAATGAAATAGGAGGTGGTTCAGTCCGAATACACAGTCCGCATTTACAAGTTAAAATTATGAACATGTTGAACATAGATCCAGAGAAATTGAGGCATTTTGTGAATGCATTAAGTAGTGGCTGTCCTCCTCATGCCGGCATTGCTCTTGGTATTGACAGGTTAATAGCAATTGCCTGTGATGCAGAGTCAATAAGAGACGTGATTGCATTCCCCAAGTCTCATGATGGCCGTGATCCTCTGTCAGGTGCACCTAATGTTTTATCACATAGTGATAGAAATTATTATCATTTATATCATATTAAATGAAAAATGAATATTATTAATGTTTTTAAATAATGTATACATGTGTAGATATTAAATACCCACACAAAGACCAAACAAACCTGTTTGTCACCTGAAGATTTACCAGATGTGGGAATTGAACCCAGTCAGCAACTAGGTCTGGTAGTCAACAGTGCTACCACTATGCCAACACGAGTCTGGTAAATGAGAAAATGTGAAAGTGAAAAATGTAAATTAGATGAAGTAGATGTAATATGAATTAAATGAATCAAACACAATTGAATACAATATACAAAAGTATTTTTAAATTGATTGAAATAAGTTTTTTATTATTTTTGTTATTGCTTAGGTCAGCAGTCGGGGAACCGGGGTAAATTACCCCAAATGGGGTAAAATGAAATTTTGGGGGGTAAAAATGAAACTTTTGTGAGTAAAAAGTATATATTGAAGTGAAACTTCTTTAAAATCGTTGTGATTTCAAACTCGATGAAACGAAATGAAACGAAACGAAAAAATAAGTCCATAGCGACACAAACATAAATGTATAGGATACAGCCGGCGAGATAATGAGAAAGAACACATTATTTGGAAACACAAAGTTCACGTGATTGACTGATTTTTTAAAAATCTGATAGCTATAAAATGAATAAAATATACATTATATAATTTTAAAGCTTTATTCTTAAAAAAATCATTTCTGTTTGATATATAGTCTTTTATTTTATTAAATAAATTAAATATTCTTTTATTTGCCCGAAAAAAATCATTTAAATTAAAAAATATTTTTATGGGGGCTATATATAAAATTTAAACTACTTTTTTCCGTCTAATAATACTTGTAATCAATAAATAAAAAAAAAAATTATAATAAAACTTAAAAATATCATACGAATTATAAAATAACAAGAAATTATCATTTACTTATATTTTCTGTAGGGGCGATTTTTTTTCCTTAACTGTATATTACATATATTACTATTATTAGGTACTGTTATGTATTACTAGGTATTACATTGATAAATTGAATAAATGATGTTTAAATTAAATTTTTAGTTTTTGTTTTCTTTTCAAAATTATCTTGGGGGATATAATATGAAAGATGCTAAAAAGAAGCGATTTCGTTTTTTTTTGTTCTTCGCCATGGGATAATATCAACTTACACAAAATTATTTTGGGGTAATAATTAAAAAGTTCCCCGACCGCTGGCTTAGGTGGGTGGATGAGCTCATGGCCCACCCGGTGTTAAGTGGTTACCGGAGCCCATAGACATCTACAACGTAAATGCCGCCGCCTACCTTGAGATATGAATTCTAAGGTCTCAGAACGGCTGCCTCACTCTTCAAACCGAAACGTATTACTGGTTTACGGCAGAAATAGGCAGAGCGGTAGTACCTACCCGTGTGGGCTTACAAGAGGTCCTACCACCATTAAATTTACGAGGTATCGAGAAGAAACTCAATTTCAGAAATTCAATTTTTTACTGGTGGTAGGACCTCTTGTGAGTCCGCGCGGATGGGTACCACTACCCTGCCTATTTTCTGCCGTGAAGCAGTAATGCGTTTCGGTTTGAAGGGTGGGGCAGCCGTCGTAACTATGCTTGAGACCTTAGAACTTGTATCTGAAGGTGGGTGCCGCATTTACGTCGTGGATGTCTATGGGCTCCAGTAACCACTTAACACCAGGTGGGCTGTGAGCTCATCCACCCATCTAAGCAATAAATAAAAAAATAAAAAAAAAACTATCATTCCAATTTTCAAATTTTGTTTCTGCAATTGGGTAAACCGGTTTACGCCCTAAATGTTGTTAAGTGATCATTCAACGTTATAAACGTTACATCCTGAATAGAGCCGCCTAACTATAGAGCTGGAGTCCGACTAGATATTTACCATTTTACCCTTAAAACCGAGACACGTGTTTTCTTTGCGGCAGAAATAGACAGGACTGTGGTACGAACCGTTGCGGACTCAAAATGCCCACCAGTAATTGGGTTTTTGAAAAAAAACTTTTTTGTGATAAGTAAATGGAAAGATGATATTTTATGTTAGTTATATAATAAAACAATTTTTTTTTCGCAATAATTCAAAAGTTATTTCAAAATAAAAATTAATTTTTGAATCCAGTACCGAAGACACGCCGACAGCTCCCGATCAAATCCGAGCGCGTGTGACGTCATAATGTTGGTTTTCCCTCATTGCTGTTTGATGATTTGACTGTCAACCTAATCGTAAAAGACAAGGCACTACAACGGTTCTTAGACCAACTGCAGAAAAACGACGGAGACAACAAATCATCCAAGAAATGTTAAGTGAATCGTAAGAAAATATGGAAATTGATAATCCTCAAGAACTAAACATTGATGCCGCATCAGCCAATACTGTTGAAAATATTGGTGTTGATTTTGATTAATATTATCAGACTTTGCCTTAATAAATCCTTTATCACACATAGCTAATCGTAACCAACTAAGTAACAACTCGTTTTTTAACAATATATTTTCAATATTATTGTCTATAGTAGAATCATTTTGTCCGTGGAGTTTGGGTCATTAAACATAGCCCGGCTAGGGCATGATGTGCAAGGTGAACATGTTGCGCGGGCGCAACGCCATTATCAATAAAAACAAATGAGTCATCGAAGGCAGGTACACGGCGGCGGGGTAGTATACGAAGGGGGTGAGACATTGTTAGGTTATGAGTCATTTGTACTTACCTGCAAATTATAGTATAAGTAACCGGCAAACATCGTGAGCAAATGACCTTGACTGCGCAGAACCGAATTTTAGATCACTTTGGTGGTGAGGGTGAGGCGCGACGGCAGGGGAAATCGTATCGAGCGCGTTATTGGTAGATCAGTCGAACCTTGCGTCCCGCACCGCGCCTTCGTTCCGCTTGCTCCCAAAAGTACGCTTGCGTACAGTGAAAAGTCTATCGTTATTAATCGTTAAGTTATATTTTGTTATAATTGCTTGTTGACTTTTTTGCCATTGCTATTTGTTGAGTGCTTGTTGATTTTTTATAAAAAATACACTATGCCGCGACAAACTGGTGTAGTATTCAAAAGAAAGGGTAGAAAAATTGTGTACGACGTATATTGCTTCATTATAAAACAGGGGAAGAATGATATTATGGAAAAAGTAAAACAGACTTCGGAAGCAACAAAAACATCAGTGAGTACTGTTAGGTGCATTATTAACGAAGCTAAAGGCTCTGGCTTGCTCATCGTGCTTGGGACTCCGGGTAAGAAAAGATCAGGGAAGAAGAAAGTTACCGGAATGGATAGTTTCGTTCAATCTGTAATAAAAAGATGTAATCATAATAACTACATAACAAGCAGCGAAACTCCGTACCGTCGAAAGGCTTCGAAAATTTTAAAGAAGATATTTTATACATTTTAATGGCTCGGAATGAAGTTTACGACGAATTATGAAAGAGCTAGGCTTCAGATGGAAAAAAAAAACAGAAAATAATCGGAAGCTGGTAATTGAAAAAAGTAACATTCGATTACTACGAATCGAATATCTTCAAAAAATAATTAATTATAGACAAAAAAGAAGATCGAACCGACCGAGTCGTAAACTACACCGATGAGCCCTATGTCGACTTATCATGATGATGGCGACTCGGGTGATGAAAACAGTGATGATGGTAATGGTCAAGATTATGATAACGAAAAAAAAATTACAAATACCAGCTTCGCTTCAACTGAACGAAGACCTGGCAACAGCTCTAGTTTTGACTTAATAGAAGGAATATCTATTTTACCCCAATTATTAACCTATATTTTTTGTTGATGTTCTAATAAATATATAAATAAATACATATGTTGATTTTAATAATTTAATTGCATTATGACGCAGAGTAAATAATGTTTTTGCACGTGAGTGTACCATGCGCAAACTTACCCCCACTACGTCAACAAATGCTCAAGAAGTTTGCCGGCTATTATACTGCTATTCAATAGCTATAACATTATGACGTCACAACTATGGTGACCAATCATGGCGCGTTTATAAGTTACGTGACTTTTTTAAATTCTATGTTTTTAATTCTTTATAATTAATTGAAATATTATTATTTTTAATTTTTTGCATTAAATATCCATATTATTAATAATAAAGTTTTGAATTACAATAAAAAAATCCATAATAATTTTTTTCAAAATCCCATTTGCGCATATATTTATATACATTTTGTGTGTTGTGTCGTCATTAGAAAAATAATACCGTATATTCAACGAACAATTTTGGTTTACGATTGTATGGATTAATTCTTGGAAGATTAGAAATTCAATTTCGAATACTCTTATTTCATTGAAGATCGAGGAAACTAGTATCAAAGTCTTCGCTTTTAAAAAACAGGAAATTTAACTCAAAGAAAAACCCCCGTAACTTAATAATTTTCCTCAATAGTTATATCACGAGTCACGACTATTTTTCTAGGTTTATGTTTTATTTAATATCGCGCGTTTATTCCTCCAGTGCCCTGCTTGTTTCTATTGTCAAGTAATCGTAAGGGTTCTTGACAATAGCAACAATTTAATGGTAGAGCTTGCATGCAACCTGTTTGCCACGAAGCATCAATGTGTTTTAGTCTAACGAGAATAATATCCATATTATTCAGAATATCACGTCACGTTACGTGTTTAAAAAACTACACTATTTGGACTGTGAGCTCGTATGAGTCACCCGGTCACCGTCCTTGCCGAACCCGTCGCTTGCGACAAACGGCTCGACGAGTAAATTAACCCATAGACACAGTCCACTGAGTTTCTCGCCGGATCTTCTCAGCGAGTCGCGATTCCGATCTGGTAGTAGATTCATTCGTAAAGCAATTGCTCTTGAGTTGTTAGGTCTCCTTCGGAGGCGCTCGGGCAGTTGTTAGCAAATCCCACCCCTCCTGGCTGAGCCTTTGCTCGCCCACCTGTCCTGGTGAAACTGGAAAGGCCTTCGGGCCACCAGTAATCTTTCAATCATAAAAAAAAAAAAAATTCTCGCCGGATCATCTCAGTGGGTCGCGTTTCCGATCCGGTGGTAGATTCTGCGAAGCATTGCTCTTGTTAGGGTCAGTCTTAGCAGGTTAGCAACACTCTGGTTTGAGCCCCGCGAGCTCACTTACACGTCAAGGAGAAGCTGAAATAGATTCTCAGCATAGGTAGGAAGAAAATAAAAAATAAAAATAAATGAGTCAATACAGCGAAAAAAAAGATTTCAAGATTAGCTATATTTGCTTCGGGATAGAAATAATCAATTCGGTGCAATACGTTGCTATCTGAGCACCCGACCAATAATGTTTGCGTGTAAAACAATAATATCAGTAATAAATTAATGTATATAAAATATGAATAGATAATAATGAGAACGTACCGTAGCTGTACACATAATAAACACAACAGAACAATAAAACCACAACTCGCGTCTTCATTTTGCGAACTAAAGTTGAATTCTGATCAAAAACTAGCGTTACTACTCGCTTTTATATATTATTTTTTCTTACGTTGTTACCAGAGCTTGCAAACTATATAGTTTAGATTGAATGACGTTACTGTTTATTGACTATTCTGCGTTGAATGTATGTTTTTATACGGGCAGCTACCACCGTCCTACCAGTTACTGTCGCATCTGTTTGTACCTAAGTGACGGTGTTCAAGCCGTAATTTCTGTAAATCATCATCTATTTCTTCTCTTCGAAGGTCATCGCTATTTTTTCATAAGTCACTTCTACGGGCTCTAATATCTAGGCGAGCTTTAAGCGGTCTGCTCTCTTAGATGAATAAAAAAGAAAACTATTTTTTCTTATTTCATTATTTATTATTTATTGGAAATCGTCGTGGCCTGAATGATAACACGTCCGTTGTATTAGTATCGTATCCCACAGCCAAAACCAGTTTTTGTAATGACATACGTACTTATCAAATGTTTACGATTGAGTTCCACGGTGAAGGAATAAAATCGTGTAATAAAAATTAAACCCGCAAAATTATAATTTGCATAAATACTGGTGGTAGGATGTCTTGTGAGTCGGCACGGGTAGGTACCACCACCCTGCCTATTTCTGCCGTGAAGCAGTAATGCGTTTCGGTTTGAAGGGCGGGGCAGCCGTTGTAACTATACTGAGACCTTAGAATTTATTTCTCAAGGTGGGTGGCGCATTTACGTTGTGGATATCTATAGGCTCCAGTAACCACTTAACACCAGGTGGGCCGTGTGCTCGTTCACCCTATACATAACTATCATAAACAAGTTTTGATTTTATTAAAGCTTATTATAAAATAGGGCCTCGTTGAATAACAAGGCCCTATTTTATAATTTAATTATAATTCGTAAGGCCCTATTTTATAAATGGGATGGAAGAAATTCACGAAACACAATGAAAAAATAATATCTAATAATAATTTGTCAATTTAATAACAAATAAATATTTTTGTTTACCTATGATGAGTTGTACAATATTTTAGAGCACTTTTATATGAGAATAATTTCTTAATTAACTTGAAAAAATATAGAATAATGTTTTTGAAATCCATATTATCTTTAATTTAACTTTGCATTATAATTTTGGACAGTCAGGAGAGCTAGCCATTTGCGGACATTCGCAAATCTTAACACAGGCCGAATTGTCGTCGAGTTTCAAGTAGTCTGGTTTGCAAGCGCATCCCTCTTCGCAGGGTTTGGGCTTACTACAATCAAAACGAGCGACGAGTGAATTGCAAGTACGCGGCGGACATGGGTTCGTGCAGTTGGTAAACTCCTCATTTTCGCCTGAACATTCCTCTGGAAAAAAAACTTGTTTAGGTTTCGTACATGGCATCATAGTGGGTACATGGCATCAATGCGATTCGATTTTAATTTTTTCTTTTTTTTTTCTCTTACCTAAGCTGATAGCCTTGAGAGGCTATTTCAGCGTAAGCTTATCTATAGTAGGTGATCTCACGGAGCTCAAACCTGACGACGTTGCTAACACAACCCTAGCAAGAGCCGTGCTTCGCAGAATCTACCACTGGATCCGAAACGCGACCCACTAAGGCGATCCGGCGAGAAACTAGGTGGGCTGTGTCTGTGGCTTAATTTACTCGTCGAGCCCTTCGTCGCAAGCGACGGGTTCGACAAGAACGATGACCGGGATTACAAGGGTGGGACAGCCGTTACACTAAACCATTGAGACTTAGACTCTTATGTTTGAGACATGAGGTGAATGGTGATATTTACTTTGTGATGCCTAAGGGCCCCGGTGGCAGTTAAGATCAATTGAGCTGTAAACTCGTCTGTTCGTCTATGATAACGAACATCTTAAATGAATAAGAGGCCATTCGTAAAGCATAGAGCAACAGAGTATCTCTTTGACACCAGCAGATAGGTTGCAAATCAGTTTCGAGAGACCGGATGATTTTGAATGGTAGGTATATTCTTGTTTTTAGTCAAAACACAAACAGAGGATCCTCGGACTTGTATTATTCCTCCGCATTGGTCGTCCCCACTATATTCTCACTCGACTTTGTGACTGAGACCTCCTCTAACTTTATCTTAGGACAATAATAGTGGGTTTTTTTTTATTGAACCCTTATGGATGAGTTCAGTTGAAACTCATGTTTCAGTCTAGAGACAGCATTCATTCTGTTTCGTTTATGGGCTACGGTAAGAATCAGAACAAGGCGGGCTCTTCTATCTAAAATTAGAAACACACTGAAATTATTTGACTTTCATTGTACTTACTATCGCAGTCGCTAACCGTTATACAAGTGCCATTTTTAGCCCTAAAGTAGTTATCTTTGCACACACATCCACCGGTGCAATCACTCTCCGACACTCCCGTACACGTTAATGAACCACCCAGATTTGAACATTTCTCCGGTCGACAAACAGACTGTACGCAATTCGAATATTGTTCATTTACCGCACAAGTTTTGAATGAATCAGCTAGAAGTTGTGAAAAGTCCATGAAATATAGTGTGTGGATGGATGCGAACTCTCGGTCCACTTGGTGTTAAGCGATTATCTCAGCCTAAAAACACCACATGAAGCTGTCGAACTTGGGCGCGGGATAAGTGCTTTGCTGCAATAGCGGTCCTAGAGTGTCCTGTTTGAAATTGAACGTTGCTTCGAGACATAAAAGAGAAAATAATGATACCGACCGGCATGGACATAATTAAATGCCCTATTACCTGTACTTAAAACTGGAATTAAGGGTTTTGGAATCAGGTAGTTTTTTAAATAGCTAACTAAGAATTGCTAACGGAGGAGGCTTGATGTCTCAGATTCGTTTGTCAATAGTCAAACAGACCTCTGGCTTTAAAAAACACATCAACTTAACGAATGAAGGTACTTACAATTTGGGCAATTTTCTCGGGCGACACATTTACCGCTATCGTCTTTCAGATATCCCTCTTTACACACGCATCCGGCTTTGCAGGACTTTTGGTCCACCGATGGGCAGTACATAGGACCGTCCTTCTCTGAGCACGTCATTGGGCCACACTGTGCTAGGACACAGTTCACGTGTATTTCATTTTCAGAGCAGAGGTCAGCTGAAATTTTGCAAATTTGACCGGATTTATCAGGAAACGCGTTAAACTCCTCTACTAGAGATAAGTTTCAGATTAAATCAAAGAATAGCTATTATTCCAATCGATTCTACTATGTAATTCGGTGTGGTAGGAGTGGCAGCATTATAGCTGTGGTGTATAGTCTGTACCATGCGGTCCATGCCACCCATGACCGAACGCTGTGGAGGAACGTCACATGTGGTCGCGATCCTCAACAGTAAGGGAACGATATAGAAGAAGAAGTATATATGACACATTAGCCATCAAGCACGTGAGTGAATCGATTAATATCGGCCTTTGATGTCCATCCGTAAGAATTTTGAATGAAGTCGTAAGAACTAGGCGGCAAATTCTTAAACCATGAGAAAAGAAAACCAATCGGTAGGCAGCGGCTTGGCTCTGCCCCTGGCATTGCTGAAGTCCACGGGCGACGGTAACCACTCACCATCAGGTGGGCCGTATGCTCGTCTGCATACAAGGGAATCTCTCATCTCTTCTCTTTTCGATCGGTTCCTCACTGCTGAGGATCGTGACTCCGTCCGATTTCGTCAACCAACTGTCTCCATCGATCCCGCCCTGCAGCCCACAAGCAGCAGCCTACAAGGGAATAAAAAAAATAAAAAATAAAAATCTTTACTCACCGTCACAATCACTGAGTTTAATACAAGTGTCGTTTTTAGCTCGGAAGTAGTTGTCCTTACAGACGCAGCCACCGACGCATTCCCTTTCCGACACCCCCTTGCAACTGAGGGATCCCCCCAGGTCTGAACACTTCTCGACCCGACAAACAGCTTGGATGCAACTTAAATACTGTTCATTTATTGAACAAAGCTGGGCTGAAAACATTAATTACATACTTGGAGTGGTTATGTTATCTTGGACCTAATTACATCAAGATTTATCTGGAATTGTTAGATCTGATGATGGATTTGTAAGAATATTAAAAATACTGTACAACTAATTAATGTATATTGTATTATGTTAAGGTTTTGACTTACATTCACAATCTCTTTCATCGACACAGGTGCCATTGTCAGCCCTACGAAATCCTCTTTTACAAACACAACCGACTTCGCAGGGTTCGTCCGAGGGACACGACTGTGACCTGTATTTGTACTCGCATTTATCAGAATTACAATTGGGCTGTCGACAGCTCGAGTACACTTCGTTCACGGGACATAGTTCCCCTGAAAATAATAGGTATCCAATGTTATTAAAGTACCTTAGCAGCCGTACGTCCTTAAGATTGATTTACCTACAGAGTAATACAAAATAATTCCCAGTACACTGCAGTTATGTAATATTGCCATTTTTCTCATGAAGCTTAAACGAGACTTACATAATTATTAAGGATATGCTTTAACGTAACCCTGTAACCCTGTAACTGCCCTCGTCTATGAGCAACACAAACTTATCCACCACATACTTATTATGTTTTTGGAGAAAAACTACTATCATTATTTAATAAACTTACTATGGCATTCATCGATAGATACGCACGTTCCGTTTTTTGATCTCAAGAAGCCCCCTTCACAAACGCAGCCCGGCTCGCACAGCTCTGTCGATTGCGTTTTACATTCAGACAACTTGCCCAGCTCTGTGCAGTTCTCCTGACGACACATGCCCTTAGCGCAGTTCGTGAAGTATTCATTCACTGGACAAGGCACAGCTACAAATAGATATTAGGTAAATTAAGCTTAATGGAACTACCGGACCATGAGTAGTTGGAATAGCCCCTTAGGCTAGCGCTGCCGTACCGCGGAGACCGGCGTCGTTGGTCGTCGACTATCGCCTCGACGACCCGTCGGTCGGGCGTCCGCGGGGTGGCGCCCCGAGTCTGGTTGTAGTGTTGACCGCGGGAATCCCCTCACTCTGACCGGGTTCTGACCCCGGGCGTTTAAGAGTGCAGTGGAGTCGTTTAGTACGGTAGGGCCCTAAAAATATCCTTGGGCCCGTGGTCTGCTCCCAACATCTGCAGATCATCAAGTCCCACATACCCCACGCGCCTTTTAGGCGTGGCGACCTCGTAGGAGGTTCGGCCCCGGCCCGAAAAAAAAGCCCCTTAGGCTACTAACGATTAGGTTACATAAATGGCGTTATTAAACTATATAGTGTATTGAATAGCGGTATGGTTCTGTTGTATGATTTTATTAGATCCACGTTGACGAAATTTGCATGCACATTGGTTACATAATACACAGGTCTTGAAAGCTAGGACTATACTTTTAAATATCCTTTTAGGGTTCAGAATTTATTTTTACGACTTACTTGGACACTTGTCTTGCGGTATACAAGTTCCATTTTCGTCTCTCAGATATCCTATTTTGCAGGCACATCCATATTCGCACTTCTCCTCATCAACTAATTGGCAGAAGATGATATCATTTTTTTCGATGCACTTCTGAGGTCTGCATAAACCTTGAAGGCAGGTGCGTTCTTCGTTTTCTGGACAAGTAGCTGAAATTTTTAAATTCATTGGGAAATTTACTTCTGATTACGTTCACAGGACGACTTGGTGGCATCATAAATGTTGTGAAACCTATGGAATTTGATAATCACCTAAATGCTAAGAGCTTGCTTGCCTATTTACTTCAATAATAAGTACCTACATAATACCTACAGAAAAACATCCAGATCACAGTAATAAAAATAATATATTTTTTCTCCTACCTACGCCGAAAGTTCGGTTTTCCTCCCGCTGTACAGGGAAGAAAGTGTAACTTTTCCTTCCGCTGTACAGGGAAGAAAGTGTAACTTTTCCTTCCGCTGTACAGGGAAGAAAGTGTAACTTTTTCTCCCTGGGTACAAGTGCGCATGTGTCTACGTCTGCTCTCACGCACCTAAAATTCTCCGCCATTGTTGTGCTCGGGTAATTTGCAATATTGTCTTTAGTGTAAAAGTGAAATGAACAAAAGGCAATAAAATTTAATAGTGAAGTATTAAACAAAGATGAGTTCATCAGACAGTTCTTATTCAATTAGTAGTAGTTTATTTAAAAATTAAAAAACAGTTAAAATGTTTTTTTTGAGTACCCCCGGCCAGGACTTCGCCCCTGGACCCCGGCTCGGTACTCTAGGAACTTTCGGTCTGGTAGGAGAAAAAATTGTATGTGCAACGCGGGAAAAAACTAGGACATCTCATCCAGCGTGTTTGCCAATTTTCCACGCGGGAGGAAATTTCCTACTTTTCTCCCTTGGTGCACAATGTACATTCATGTGTCTTTGATACAGGGCCAAATTTTATAATCCGAATAGGGACGTTTCCATTTTGGTGAAAATTACGTTGAAAGATTCCGTTACATAGATAAATTAATAAATATAGGTCAAACTGATAAAAGCGTGTGAAAGGGCCAATTTGTTATTTAATTTACATTATACCTATAAAGATTAAGTTGATTAATATTTCACGTGCGGGTTAGGAGTACATCATTTCTTACATAACGGCGGTAGCGTTGTGTTGTGATGACATTCGTGACCTTTGGCATATTATATACAGATAATAAATGGCTATGGCTCACAACATGTTTTTAAAATTACATAATAACTGATGATGTAGGTACACCTAACTGCTCGTTTAATAAAAGTATATTAAAATACATATATTGTTTTTAATCAGAAATAGCGACTTGTTTTAAGTAGATTAGGATGATCTTTAGTGCAAGCTCGAGCTTTATATGATCTTTAGCCACGTTTCCAAAATTTATCCATACAATTTTTCATTCAAGTACGGCAAAGAAGACGGCGTATAAGCTGCTAATTGCTATACACGTGTCTTGCCGAAGAGCATCCGAGAGACATGACCTCAGATCCCGACCCATGCTGATTCTGATCCAGCGGGATATTGCGAGGGAATGAGCCGTCTAGACGTGCTTTGGATATCCCCTTGCCCTAGTCCCGACAGACGCCGAACCGGCGGTCTTCACTGCCATGCCTAGTAGGGACAGGGTGGTGGGGAGACATGAGCTTCGNAGCGACTTGTTTTAAGTAGATTAGGATGATCTTTAGTGCAAGCTCGAGCTTTATATGATCTTTAGCCACGTTTCCAAAATTTATCCATACAATTTTTCATTCAAGTACGGCAAAGAAGACGGCGTAGGTATAAGCTGCTAATTGCTATACACGTGTCTTGCGGAAGAGCATCCGAGAGACATGACCTCAGATCCCGACCCATGCTGATTCTGATCCAGCGGGATATTGCGAGGGAATGAGCCGTCTAGACGTGCTTTGGATATCCCCTTGCCCTAGTCCCGACAGACGCCGAACCGGCGGTCTTCACTGCCATGCCTAGTAGGGACAGGGTGGTGGGGAGACATGAGCTTCGCGCGAATCGCGTCACCTGGCTTCGCTATAGATTTAGTCGGTTCAACTTCCACACAGTCAACGCATCGGCGGTTTTTTTTAATGTGTAACTTTACGTCACATTCAAAAGTTGGGCGTGCATTAAAAAAAGCGAGCGAACAAAAACAAAAAAATAACACATTATTTGGGAACATAATCATCAAATATTCAGATTATTTGTACCGAGACACTTCGCTAGACCTTGAGGTTATTGATAGATGAAGAGCGAGCGAGATGCTAATAGATTTAATATTTGTGATACAGTCGTGATCGTACACAAGTACCGAAACAATTAAGTTTCTAAGGCAAGCAACTTGATAATGTAGTCATTTAAATTTGGCAGCTTTTTACATAAATCATTTCTCTACTCGATAATTCTACAGCGCTATGCGTTTTCCTTCTTGTGGAGTCTCTATCGGTAGCTAGAGACTCGAAAAAGCTAATGCAATTGCCGATGTCCATGAGCTATTAAACTATCAACAGTGGTCATTAAAATATAGAATTATTTTACGCTACACTCAAGGAGAATCTAAACAAGTCACTTTCACACATTCACTTTCGATTGCATTTTTTTTTTCAAACTTATGACATCCGTTAGAGTATATAGTATAGAGTAGATAGTATAAGAGACAATAGTACAAGGGACATTATCTAAAATCGCAATTGAATTTGTCGGATGATAGTTTATCGAAAAAACTAAACTAAAATTAACGGAAAAACGTTACTTCAAACACCGAAATACTCGAAATGCTTAGAACAAAACTGGTCTAAGTTGAAATGCAACAAGAATGTTTGTTTTAAGAGAAGAAAACTGATTCAATCACCTGTACAGAGGACGATGATGTTGACGAACGCTAACACTACGATCCAACTAAACGACATCGCGGCTGATATTCAAATAAACCGTGTGTTTGTTTTTATCACTATTTATAAGCCGTATTTGCCGAGAACTTGTTTTTTGTTGATTCCGTGAAACGATAGCTCAAAGTGTCTGTAATGAGTGATGACGAACGTGCTACAAACCAATGTTTATTAAGATACTATATTTGCCCCGCGGTGAGACGCGCAATTTGCAATTTCAAAAACGGATGTAAAACTGCGTATTTTTGATGTACAACATAGGTAATGTTTTTTTTTTGAATACATATTCCCAAATGAAATTAAAATTTAATACTATCAGTATTTGGTTTTCACGCACTAAGCGTTTTCGAAATGACGAGTAGTGTATTGAGAACTTCTTTCTTTGCCGACAAAAGCACCCTCTAAATACTATTAGTCGTATCAGGAATTAATCTGAACAAACTGACAGGCAGTCAAGTATAACGTATATTTTAATTTCATTCAATTCCAAATAAAAATTTTGAGCTTAATTTTACCAACTTCAAGACGTCTGATTAAATTTAAAGTGTGCACGCTCCTTTAGGCCGACAACATAACAATTTTATATCTTCGCTTTAATAAGGTGACCGGTATCAACCGATAAAGAAAGATGAAATTAGTTGTTAGTTCGATTTGCTATTTCTGTGGTTACGAATGGTTCGATTTTTCTCTTTTCACAGAAACTTCCAACACTCAATAGTGGGGTGTGTAAAGTTTTTTTTAAGATTGAAGGGTTACTGGTGGTCCGGGGGCCTTTCCAGTTTCCGAGACAGGTGGGCGAGCAAAGGCTCAGCCAAGGGCTCAACCTGGGAGGACTTTTTAACATTTATCCTAGAGAGAGCAATACTTTGCTAAATCTATTATACCACCAGATTGGGTTTCGAAAAATGAGAGTTAGATAAATAAGTAAGAATGCAAAATGACACATGACACATGGAAAGTAGGTAGCAATATTAAGCCAAGGAGACCTGAGGCTTCATACTCGTATGAAACAGCCCTGACAGCATCCTGAAGGCATTAACAGACCGTTATGACTGTCGGTACTTGAACCATTGTACCATGGTACACTTGCGGACTAAATAATAATAATAATAACGGTTGGTTCGAAGTAAGTATCAGTTGAATGGAATATTTGAAATGTATTCAACTGATAATTATTTTTAATAAATGTATCTTTTTTATTTGATTGGTTTTGTTAATCTTGAGTATGTTTCAAAGATACTATGTACATATATGGACTTATTGTTGTCTGAAATAAAATAAGTCATTCATTCATTAATGGTCAAACAGGCCGCAGTGTGCCGCTAGGGTCCACTGACCTATGGCCATAATGGACTAGGTACCACCTATACGTAAAACAGGAATAAAGGGTTTCGGAATAAGGTAGTCGTTTAAATAAGTAAGAACTCCTAACTCCTAGACGCATGGAAAGTAAGTATAATATACCTACATACTTCTTCTCGGTATACTATATGTTCTCGGCATACTATATTTTATGTAGTATGCCGAGGAGGCCTGAGGTCTCAGACTCGTATAACAGTAGATCAAACTTCTGTCATTAAAATCCTACTGAACTCTGGCTATATCAAACAGATCACTTATTGAATGTACCTTGTACGTACCTATACTTACAATTTGGGCAATTTTCTCAGGCGACACATTTACCGCTATCGTCTTTCAGATTATCCCTCTTTACACACGCATCCGGCTTTGCAGGACTCTTGGTACACCGATGGGCAGTACATAGGACCGTCCTTCTCTGAGCACGACATTAGGCCACACTGTGCTAGGACACAGTTCACGTGTATTTCATTTTCAGAGCAGAGGTCAGCTGAAATTCCCTCAGACACAGCCCACTGAGTTTCTCGTCGAATCTACTCAGTGGGTCGCGTTTCCGATCCGGCGGTAGATTCTGTGAAGCACGGCTCTTGCTACGTCGTCAGGTTTGAGCCCCGTGAGCTCACCTATTATGTAGTTAAGGTTACACTGAAATAGCCTCTCAAGGCTCTCAGCTAGGTAGGAAAAAATATGTAACTGTGGTGTAAACAAAACTTGTCAAGTTAAAATAACATAGAAATATTTATTTGCTCGTTACAATTGATCGAACCAACTTTTACATTGTTCACGAACGTCAACACTATGAGCAAACTGAACGACATCGCGTTTGATATTCAAATAACCCGTGTATGTTTATTTTATCATTATTTATAAGCAGTATTTTTCGTGAACTTGTTTTTTAGG